TTTGACGGCTCGAGATTTCTATGAGGGCTTGAATCATTACCTTGAAAAAGATAATAATGATCGCCTACACAGATCATGCTTCTACCTTTAAACACATACCATTCGCTCAGCCTATCGTTGAGATGCGACTACGTGGGCTCTGCACAGATTTATGGGGCATCTTATAAATTAACATGCTTTCCTTTGTCGAACCTTCGAATAATGTCTCATCTCATTCATTTTCTAATAACGTCTTCACTTGCTCATTATATTCCATTAAACCTAACATTTTATAGCTCTTTATGAATTTGATTCGACTTATTCTATTCCTATTCTCTATAGGGTACGGTTGTGCACCAAATACACGAAAAGGTATGAAATAAAAACAACCGGCTTGTGGATAATTGTATTAAAACCGAATGTGGGCATCATGATAGTAAGACCTATATAGGTAGCATTATACATTGCAAATGAACTTTGTCAGCCTAGGGATTATAGTCTCCCAATGTATATCCTTTATGAATGCATCTATTAATGATACATTGCACTTACCTATTTCATTGCACTTTAATGATTCACCTTAGCACCTTTACTTTTCTAAAACAGCTTACTATCCCTTGTAAACATTGTACTTACCTCAATATTGGTTGGTTATCGTATGCCTACAACTACGGGTTGAAAACGAAACGAAGTTGATTTTCATGCGCAACCTGGAGGACTACTGTACAATCATACGGCCTGGGTCAGACAATGAGTGTATTTATATATACATATACATCAAATATTTAGCTGTTGAAACATTATTAACTTGTAGACAATCTACTATTTGACATTATATCATACTTGATCGTGCCTGTAAAAATGGCATGCATTTTCATGTAAATTTATGTTTATATGAAAATATACATTGTTATTATTATAAGATGGCAATGAGATTATGAAGGGTCACAATATAGACCTGTATATCTCACGACTTATTCGATGCAATAAAGTATTTCATAAAGGCTCAGCAACTGTTCGTTACATATTTCTAACAATGCTGTTTCATATTTTATGTTATCGTGTTGGCATTGAGAAGGCCATTAAAAGACATTATCTATGAACCTTACGAATGCAATCTCAACACATCTTTAGATAGAAGAAAAAGGTGCAAACAGCGAAGAAAACTTTCTTTTCGACAATTCATTCGCATTCATAAGCTGCTCTGTACAATCGTAATTATATTAAACAAAGATATCTTCAAATCAATCAGATACTGGTAAACTTTGTCGTGGAAAAATGCATTACATAATGTAAGGTGTAAGAGGGGATGACTAATTGTAAGTTAGAAAAGAGGCAAAAGTTGGCATGATGTAATTAGTGTGAGAAAATGAATCGTCAGTGTGATTGCGTAGAGTGGACAGGAACTAGTGGAAAAAAGATAAAGTGTTTTTACATAAAATCTGCATGAAAAAGCAATGTCACTAATAAACAGTAATAGAGTGTTAATCAAATATGGATGATGGGAATAATAATGATAATAAAATAATTGTAGTAATAACAATATAATATTGAACTTACATAATAAAAAAAGAAAGAGGCGAAATTATAGTAAGAACTTTGCTCTGGCCACGGTAGGGCGGGAGAATGTATGTATCGCTTTTGAATACAGGGGTCCGGTTTCAGATCCCGGATATTTAATGCTTCAGCTATGTACAGATGGCGTATGCAAAGTCCCCTTTTAAGATATTGAGGGGCTGTGTGAAGCACTGTGAAGCATTCATGCAAGTGGCGGTTCTCTGCTCGATGTCCGGAGATGACAAGGTGTTCGAGGATAGAGCTCCTGTTATTCTTCTTTTCTTCTCTGGCTAACCAAGCTGGGCAGAGTTCAGGAATACGCTTGTGGACTGGACGTTGCGTACGGCCGACATACTTTGCTCCACACGAGCATGTAAATCGAAAGACACACATTGAAGTGTCCAAAAGCAGAATCTTATCCTTAACGTTAGACAGGATTAACTGTCTACTGGAGAATGTCATACGTAAGGTGGCTGTTGGAAATGTCTTCTTCAGGTATTTGCAAAGGCGGTTTCTGAGAATTTCCGCTGCGATATCACCTCTGAATTCCGGGCTCATGAAGACAGTTTTCTTAGGAACAGATGCGATGTTTGGTGACGGAGGCTTCTCTTTCATGTTTTCATCTATGAATTTTGGTGGATACCGGTTCTCCTCCAGTAGGATATCAAGTAATAAATTTAATTCTTTCTCTCTCACGTCTTCTGAATAGACTTTCCAGTACTTCAACTTAACGCACATAGCAGGTTTTGCATTCGAATCAGTGTGACGAAGCACTGGAAGTTGATAAACTGTCGGGCTTCTAAATGCATCTTTCCAGTCCCTAGGTAGCCTGACATTTGAAAACTCACCGTAAGTGGGATGTTTATTACATCTGCCAAGGAGATTAGCAGTCTAGGGTGAAGTACGCCAAGTCCAAGTGAGTCACCTGGTTCAGTTTAGACAGCAGTTTGAGCACCAGTGCATCCTCTACCATAATTGGGGGCATTATAGTGATTACAGCAGTGACCTTGCTGTACCTTTGAGTGGTGCGATTAGACGAAAAGACATCGCAAAAGTATTCCGAGAGCTTTTTCCTAAGTTAATTTTTAAAATTTTTTATTATAGCTGGATTCCACACAGTATTTTGGTACAAGTATGGAATTTTCAGCATGCGATATCGGTCGCCGAAATTAAGCAGGCTGAAATCTAATACCTACCTTAATTATATCTGTTATCAATTGATCGATTCCCTACAAACAAATACTTGAATGTCTGTCATTATCTCTTTTCTGCCTTAATTATATCTGTTATCAATTGATCGATTCCCTACAAACAAATACTTGAATGTCTGTCATTATCTCTTTTCTGTCGCCGACAGTACGGGAGGACCAACTTGTGAAAGAACCAACTCCATTAACAGTAGCAACACGGTCTTAACACACTGCATACTACAAACAATATATGATTAATCCCAGCATCATTCCTTTAGGAGTCAACCAAAGATACTACAGTCGAGTGAGGTCAAGACTGGAAAACTGCATCCAGGCCGCCATCTCTTGTCTAAAAAGGGAATCACACATTCTAGAAAGGGTTCAAAGGAAGGCAACACCTATGGCTCTCGGAATGACTAATTTATCATACGAGGAAAGACTTGACAGTTTGAATCTCTTCTCCTTGTCATACCGTAGGCAGAGAGTAGATTTAATCACAATGTTTAAAATTTTAAATAATGACTACGGACCTGACCTATTTTCTCTTTTCCTTCCCACCAGGTCGGAACACCTTAGAGGACATAGCAGGAGAGTTCAAAAGCCAAGAAGAAATCATATTGCTGTTGAGTACTGGTTCTCACATCGAGTCATAAACTCTTGGAACCAACTCCCAGAAGAAGTGGTTTCTGCAACCTCAACTGATTCATTCAAGAAGGGTTTGGACAACCACAGAAATTTACTAGGAAAGGATTAACATCGGCTCCAAACCTTCTATCCTCAACCAATAAATCTGAAATCTGAGTGGCAGGACGAACTACTCAGAAGTTTACTGAATACCAAGGATCTTTGCCTCAAAACCAAAAAGCAAGTACAAAGAAATCAAATTGGTTTACACTAGCTCATGAAAATGATGCAATGAAAATGCAATACTTGCATCCTGTAGACTGCAGAATGCAAGTTACACCCTGTGCAATGAAAGCTTGTCCTGCTCAACGTCGGAACGTGACTTAGGTCTAGTTCTAACTGAGAAAATGGACACAAGCGTAAATTACACGGGGGATGTAGCGAGGGCATATGCGGTCATACACTTTACACATAGACAATTAGGTGCACTCACTCCTGAGCTCTTTCTAAGGTTGTATAAAACATACGTCAGACCATACCTTGAAGTGCATAATATTATTGAACCCCCACTGCTTAGAAGAGACGCCAGCCTTTTGGAAAGAGTCCAAAGAGGACTACAAAAGGAGTGATTGGTCTCCGAAATAAACCACATGATGAAAGGCTGAAGAAATTAGGCCTATTCACACTTAGCTACCGTTGGCTTAGGGGGAATTCGATTACTGCCTACAAGATAACAAATGACCAGAATCACCCAAACAAAGGTGTTCTGCCAATGAGTAGGTAGAGGCTTCCTCGTGGAAATCCCAGGAGGATAGCTCACTAGAGGGCAAGAACCCGGATGCACTCCGACTTCTTTTCATCGCGGGTTTGCCGTCTCTGGAATTCCTTACCGGCAGATGTAGCTATGGCACCGTCTGTGGACGCCTTTAAGCGAAGGCTGGACACATGGACTATCCCCTTAAAATCCCATACACCATTCAGGGGTAGACAACTAAGTTCGTCGTTTTACTTCTTTACATTCTCTTCAGTCTTACTCTCCTGACAGCTTTAACTACACCTATTATTATTATCATTATTACTGGTATATATATATTATACCGGTTGACTGACTGTTGTTACGTTTTCTTATTCTTTTTCTGTCTTTTAGTCTGAATACCTTCACTAATTATATCTATTATTATTATCTCTTTTCTATTGACGACGATACCGCATTACTGACTGGTGAAAGGATCAACTCCATTCAGGGTAGTAACAGTCTTAACACACATCATACTACAAACCAAATATAATTAATCCCTGCACTACTCCTTTAGGAGTCAACCAAAGCTACGGCAGTCGAGTGGCGGGACGAGCTACGCAGACGTTTACCGAAGATCAATAACCTATACCTCACAATCAAGAGGCGAGCACAAAGAAATCAAATTGGTTTATACTAGCTCGTAAAAACGATATTGGATATTGAATACTTTGGTTTAATCGAGTGTATGTTTATGCCCTTGAAATGTGGCGTTTTTTCAATTCAATCTGGCAGCGCCTAAGTTCCTAAGGCTGCCCTGGGGATCGTTGTTGGTTCGACATTTTCTACACCTTGACTTCACAAAAATCAATACAGAAGTAACTGTGAATTTCTGCAACCGTACTTCAAACTTCATGTCTCAGAAGTCTATTCTGTAAGTTATGAAAAACGTGATAACGAATATTCACCCTAATTACTTCTTTTTATTTATTAAAAATACTTAATCGGATCGTTTGTTGTATGGTTATCACAAATTGAAAAAGAAACGTTTGTGCCTGGAGCCTCCAAATTGTATGTTAGTCTTGTAAACTGCTGTTAACTATCAAGATATTAGTGATATTGTAATATTATCATACAGGACGTGTTGTTTTGGCGAAATCTTTACACTTTTGTTTACAGCGTCTTAGAGGAGCCTTCCAGCCTAAATTATTTTTGACCTTATATACTGATCAGGACTTGGGTGAATCCTTTTATTTGAGTATGTAATGAACCCAGCTAGCATTGATTTCAGGCGCATTGCAGAATGTTTGGGGCAGGCTTAGAGGCCTTGTCTCACGTCCTGCAATGCGCCCGAAAAAATGCTAGCTGGGAGACTACTCATCAAAGTCGTCTTATTAATATGAGTTAATGAATGAAGTGCGTTAACCTGTTCGTTCTTTTTTCTAAGTGTTTTAATTTTTTACGAGTTGATCACGGACTGATATCAGTTAGAGAACCATTGAAAACCAGGGAGTACTGGACAGCTGCTGTTTCATCCTAGTTTTCTTTAACTGAAAAAATCTTGAATCCAGGGTGTTGTGTATTCGCCCTGCTTTTAAAATTAATTGTATCTTAAAGTGAAGTCACTGCAGCAACATGCTTTTCCTAAAACAATTAAAGTAGTATCACAATTCAACATTTGATTTCAATTTTCGTCCCATTTGTCTCATTTTATGCCATACAGAATTTTAGGCGGTGTTCTTGCTATGCCCAGTCTCTTTTTAGTAATATATTTGTCTCCAAACATTTAATGTATTGGCTAGTGAAAGAAGCTTTATTGTTGTGTTTGACATTACCTTTATTGCTGATGCTGCGCTGACATCCAAGTTTCCTACTCCTATCTTAACTATTCAGAATATTTGTGACGCGTTCCAAAAATTTGCTAAAACACCTTTGTTAGGCCTTGTGCCTGCGTCAAAAACGCCAACTTGATAGTTGCTGGCCTCTACTTATTTTATAGATCTTTTGCTAAAAATGTGCTGTATGTTAAACACACAGTTAAAAGTCAATCTAAACGAAGAATATTCTTTCCAATAAATTCTTTTCAATTTCGTATAATTATAAAACAATTATAGTATTTGTTACCGTTACAATAATGATTAGTTATGCGGTGGATACATTTTTTTAACGTACAATAGTTGATTAGTAGTAGTTATTGGGTGTCAAAATAAATAGTATTTGTGTGACAAGCGTCTTGCGAGGCTGAAATCGATTACAGAGTATTTCGGTGAAATGAGGATGGTGATTAGTTATAATAGATTCGTAGAATGTGGTGGGTTAGGAAAAATTGACAAATCAGTTCAGGGTTATAAAAGGTGTCAGGTGAGTGGAGTGACTAGTAGAAAGTAGTATATATTAAGGAGGAGATAGTAATACTGCATTCAGAGGTTCATTCGTCACGAGATAACCAATGTGTGAAATGAAGAAGCAGGTGGAGGCATATATTAAGAAACTAGATAATATTACTACTGATAATAAGTCCGGATATTATACATAGAAAATTCGATAGTATTGAGAGAATGTTTGAATAAAGGCACGTTTGTCATACAAATGCTGTGACTATTTATTTTGATGCCCCATAACTAATCTGTTATTCTACGTTAAAAAATGTATCCACCGTATAACTTGCTATCGTTATTGTAACGCCAACAAACATTATAATTGTTTTATAATTGTAAAAACCTGAAGAGAAATTATAGAAAAGAATGTTCCTCTTTCAGATTGACTTTCAATTCACATGATATGGGAATATTTCACATTATTAAAACACAGTCGTTTTCATTTTGATCAATTATAAAAAAATTTATATGATTATTTGGATCACCTTTTTAAAGTTCATATATATGCTCCTTTTTCAGATCATTTTTCTCCGGTGCAAATAAAAAAGAATCCGTAAAGACAGATGAGTAAGATTGAAGTTCATATATACATATACTGCTTTTCCAGATTAGAAGAGGATTTAAAAGATTCGAAACCTCTGCAAGAAAGTAAAAAACGTAGACGTATCATAGTTGAAAGTGATGAGTCGTTAACAGAAACACCCAGTAAAAGTAACTACTTTCTTTTACCTTTAATAATAATTTAAATTTTAGACGATGAAAATGCTGAAGTATGTCGATTGATTCTTAAAGTCAACCAAAATTTTAGAATGGTACTCAACTTGTGAATCCAAATGATTCAGAAATTGCTGCTTCTGATAATGCTGATATATCCTCCCCAGTAAAGTTGACTTCTGTGAGTTTTTACTAAATATTGTTTGGAGAAATTTTTTTTGTTTTTTTTTAGCGTCCTTTGGTTCAGAAGAAAAATGCTGAGGTTTCAGGTGATGTAAATTGTACAACAAAGAAAGACAAAGTTGACAATCCAGGTAAGAATGGTCTAACTTATCGACTCCGTATAGCAAATGAGTCAGATAACCCTTCCAATAAGACAGATGTCTTAAAAATGTCAGAAAGTTCCCAAAAATTAGCAACATGGTACGAAGTGTGATTGGTAATGTTATTTTTTACATAGCTATGATCCAAGCAAGGCAGATTATCATCCGATTGAAGACTGTAACTGGATAGAAGGTCAAAGGTTGGTGATTGTATAACAAAATATGAATAAATAAATAAATAATTTTGCAGTGTGCCTTATTTATCTTTGTCTAGAACCTTTGAATGTATTGAAGCTACGTCTGGAAGGTAATAAAACACCATGTTATTCATACTTAAATTGTGTAGAATTAAAATGACGGAGATATTAAGCAATTTTTTTCGTTCAGTTGGTCTATTGTCTCCATTTGATCTTACAAGTTGTATTTACCTTTGTCTTAATCGTTTGGGACCTGCATATGAAGGAATGGAGTTGGGTATTGGTGAGACAGTTCTTTTGAAGGCTTTGGCAGCAACTACTGGTGAGTTTCTTATGAATTAGAACTTACATGCTCATATATATAAAAAGGCTAGCTCTTTATGTAGGGCTCAATACTTTCCGTATAACTCAATGTGACTACTTGTTTGGGCTTATGATCTCTGTAGAATTGTGTATACTTTCTATCTTGTTTAAAAATATTTCTGAGGGTTACACTTTTTGACCATTTCAAATGCCGTCCACTTCTGCCAAATGTTTGTAAAAAGGAGAATAATGCTCAGGAGGGCTTCGTGTACTGCTTTTGGAAGTATGTGTGTGGGCCCCCACACCGACGTTGAAGTTGAATGGTTCTTCGGGTACCTGAAACCGGAAGAGAGTTTGTGTTGGGTGACCGCATTTGACTGTAGGGGACAACTGTTTGAGGCCGGCCGGTCAAACACAGCATGTATGAACCGGTTTCTTGGATTGATTCCGTATTATTAAACTTACCGCCGGTTACGGACCGCCACCGTAGGCGGGGTAAGTCGGGATGTACAATTGTTGGGGTCGACCTTTTCTAACCTCCTCTCTCCAGAATGGAGAGACAGCATAGGTGACTGGCCGAAATGCTGGTTATCTGCTACATTCCTCTTGTCCAGCAGCAGTACGACTTCACCCACAGACAGATAACCCAGCATAGTGTAAAAAGCACCGGTATCTTACACTATGCCAGTAACTGCTTTCAAGTCTAATCGCTATCCTAACGACCTTCCTGACATGGCAGCCAGTGTAGCTTGTTGAATCATTGCGCAATGTACAAGCCCGACCACCACCACCACGTCATGTTAGCAGCTATCAGTCATAAGGTAATGGTGAGCTTGTAGCTTGGACAAATTATGAAAATAAAAAAACGTAAGATGGACAGTTAAGAATGGTACAAATTATTGGTAAGTTTATTGCATAAAATGTGAATAAATTGATAGTGTTACTGGAAATGGAAGTTATGTTTTTGCCGACTTAAGATAATAGTAGGCGCCACCAGTGTGTAGGACTCGATAGTTGGTAAACATGATTGTACTCTACCTATACACTTAAGTTGATAAAATTAAGACTTTACAAGTTCAAAGCAATCGTTTACAAAGTGATACAATGTTGCTTTGTCAAGTACTGGTTTTTGTAGGGATTTTGTCTTTTTGGTTGGAGGATTTCATCATGAGCTGACATCGGATCCCAGAGAGTGGCTGCTTAATGGTCTACTAGCTCACCTTGTAACCAGAAGGTCCTGGGTTCGAACCCCGGCGGGTGTGTACTGATGAAGAGTCCCAAATTAGGCTGATGAAACAGCTGTCCAGTGCTCCCAGCTGGTTTACCAATAGTTCTCTAGCCAACTGATATCAGCTCATGATGAATCTCTCCAGTATTGTTTTGTCTTTTATACTTATCCAATATGCATTAATGTCCTGACGTGTGTGTCTGTGTGTTTGTGTGTGTCTTGTCAAATTCTTCTAGGTGTTGGTATCGAGCATATACGTTCAAGTTTGAAAAAGCATGGTGATCTTGGTGTGGTTGCTGAGGTAAGTTCACATTTCTGTAGATATCTCTGCATGAATCAGCGTTTAATCAATTCTTATCATACACCAGTAGATTTTGACTGTCTGGTTTCTTTTTCCCAACCTTTGTGGTGTATACGCTGTATACAGCTTAACTTCATCAGATACAATCCATAGTCAAACATTGTCACAAGCACACTTATAATGATCATCGAATTGATGAATTTTACTTATGTTTTATTTTTTGTTATGGTATTGGTCTAGATTTTTTGAAAAGAAACTTCGCTTATGAAAGTAAGTGGAATGTGATTTCCTCTAAGAATACCTTTAAGAGAAAAGGAAGGGGCACTAGGGTTGCATGATTGGTTAGTTCAGGAGACAACTGCTTGAAGCCAGTCACATACACATACAACCTGTGTTGTAGGGGTGAAGTTTGTGAAGTTCCGAAGATACATATCTCACAGTGGACTGTCTCTGATCATAGGTGTCTGCGTTTTATCTCCTGTGTTAGGTGGCGGTATAAGAGGGTGACTGGCTGGCTCAGATGCATCCACTCTTTGTGACTTATAATATCCAATAAAACTATATCGTTCTTCGATATTGCCATTCTTTTTACCTCATATTTCTGTTTTGAATCTCTTTACTTTCTTCTCTTTCTTTGTTGTGCTTAACGGAAGGAGTTGTTGTGGAGACTCGAACTGCTGCTTGACATCGATGCAAAGTTCTACGTTGAAACCAGTCAGTAGTCAGTCAGTTATTTACTCCTGTGACAAGTCCGTGTGTGTGATGGATGAGATAGTTCGAAATAAGTGTTGCACGCAGATACATATCCAATACACGATTCAGGCAAAATTGCGTCTTCTTTTTGCTTCGTGTGGCTAACTAAATAAATTCATAAAGGGAACTAATTGTTTTAGATAGCATTACAAAAAGTTGTCCATAATTTTCTATCGATATATGTCTATTATTATCACTCTTTCGTCGAAGTTTCGTTTCAAAAAGTTTTTTTTCAATAAAAAGATATATTTTTCTTTTTCTAGACTATTAGATCACGTCAGAAAATCTTGTCAGCTCCAAAACCATTGACCATATCTGTAGTATTTTCTAAACTGAAGGATATTGCTTCAATGTCTGGGAATTCGGTAAGTTTATCACATTTCTGTTGACTATAATATACACGTATATGATGCCTAATAATAATAATAATAATAATAATAATAATAATAATAATAATAGTCTCCGAATCGTGGTGCACGAAAGCTTTTTCTTTTTTTGAGTTGAAGAATGTAAAAGTCTCTGAATACTGTCTATTTCGTGTTGTGTGTGTGAGTATTGTTGATTGTAAGTAGATATCTGGTTGTGCGTCGGTGGCACAGCGGTAGGTAGAATGCTCGCCGCCAACCACGCCCCCATGTGGTCCGGAGTTTGATCCCCGACTGGCCACTGACTCACTGCTTCATCTCGCGCTAAGCCAGTAATAAGACTAGTAAAGAAGGAAGTTTGGGGGTATGAGGCTAGTAGCAATTTCATCCCGTAAAAGTAAACACCACTAGTACCGAAACTTCGAGCCTCTTTAGCTTGAAGGCGCCCTATGTTGTACACTGGGAACGTGAAGAAATAAAATAAAATAATTAAAAATAGATATCTGGATTTTAAGTGAAAATTACTAATTAACCCTTCATGCCGGTCTATATATATATAGGTCTTTGTTAGATTGTTGGAGGCAGTCGGCCACAGGAAGCCTTGCTCGACCTAGGTTTCATGCTAGTTGGCACTCACTACTTTCTTCTCTCACTTTGTGTACTAAGTGAAGTGTGGCGACTTGAATTGCTGCATATCTGTGAAAAGTTCTACGTTGAAACTAGTCAGTCAGTCAGTGTCACACTTCTTACCTTTGTAAAAGTATAAGATACACAGAGAAACCACATATATTACATTTATTTTTCATTTTAAAACTATCCAAACTTTTGATACATCTTTCATAATTATTCCTTTATTTATTCATTTTTAATTTATATCAGTATATTCTGTACGTTAAATACATTACTAGGCTCAAAATAAAAAAGTTGAACTGATACGTTCCCTTTTGGTTGCTTGCCGTGAATCAGAGACGAAATATCTTATGCGAAGTTTATCCGGCAAACTACGTATTGGTTTAGCCGAACAGACTGTGCTGACAGCACTTGGACAAGCTGTTGCTATGACACCGTTTCATTCCAACAAACACGATGACTCTCGAATACTCAATGCCTCCAATGATGTGTCATCTAGTGAACAATGGAAGTCTATTATGGAGAAAGCAGTGGCTAATGTAAAAAAGGCTTATTGGTAAGTGAGAAGTTGTCAGTTAAATTACCCCCCCCCGTTGTATGATTTTACTATGAATCGTCCTTTTTTCTTTTTGCACATGTGTCTCTAGAGGGTCACATTTGACTAACTTTTGATGAGTGAAAATACAACACAAACACGTAGTGTTTAGTGAAGAGTAGGTCTCTTTTCTCTGGAGGTGGCAAATTCATTTTCCTCTTTAGCTGTATAATCGCAAATATATGTATATATATATATTTTCAAGTATTGGTTTGTAGGGATTTTGTTTGATTGGTTGGTTGGTTGTTTGGAAGATTTCATCATGAACACTGACATCGGTTGATTAGAGAACCAGTAGGAAACCTGCCACAAGCAGTACTGCCAGAAAGCTGTTTACTCCGTCCTGGTGCTTGGAACTGGCTCTTCAGTGGCACGTACCCACTCCCACCAGGGTTCGAACCCAAAAACTTCTGGTTACAAGGCGAGGGAGCTGGCTTGTAGACCATTAAGCAGCCACTCACTGGAACCCCATCCAATGGCCCATGAATTCTGAGTTCTGCTCTATTCAGGTAGTTACCTGGAATTCTAGTGGGAAGTCATGACAAGTAGCGTACAACAAGTTGAAGGTGAGGAAAGTTACTCGTTGGAGAAGACATTGCGAAGCGGTCGCGCTATGTTGGGCGTGAGTTGGTAAAAGTTGGAATTTATGGACTGACTGGATGGCCATTGGATGAAGTCCCAATGAGTGAGTGGCTTAATGGTCTACGAGCTAGCTCTCTGGCCTTGTAACCAGAAGTTTTTGGGTTCGAACCCTGGTGGGGGTGGGTACGTACTGCTGAATAGCCAGTTCCAAGCACCTGGAGGGAGTAAAGCTGCTCTGGCAGTACTGCCTGTGGCAGGTTTTCTACTGGTTCTCTAACCAACCGATGTCAGTGCTCATGATGAAATCCTCCAACCATCCAATCAATCAATAAATCAAATCCCCCCTACGAACCAATACTTGAGTTTTTCTTTTTTTTTCAAATAACGTTTTAATATTTTGTTGGGCTTTTTTTCCCTCTAACACTTATTCAGCGTTTGTCCTGACTACAGTCGTCTTATTCAAGCCCTTCTGTCTAAAGGTCATGACAGTTTAGACGAAGTTTGTACAATAACACCTGGCATTCCTTTGAAGCCTATGCTAGCACATCCAACACATGGAATCGGCGAAATTCTAAAGAGATTTGAAGAGTGTGATTTCACATGTGAATATAAATATGATGGAGAAAGAGCTCAGGTAGGTATGTTTTAAAATATTTTTTAATTCAAACAGGCCTCTTTAATTTGAACAAGGGCCAGAAGGGTACAGCAGGTTGGAAGTGTGTGAGGACAGTTACTCGTCGGAGAAGACATTGCGAAGTGTCAGTCGCGCTATGTCATGTGTGAATTGGCAGAAGTTAGAATTCATAGACTGGCTGATTGGCCATTGGATCGGTTCCCAGAGAGTGAGTGGCTGATTAATGGTCTACTAGCTAGCTCGCTCGCCTTGTAACCAGAAGGTGGTCCTGGGTTTGAACCCAAGAGGTTGGATGGCTGGGTGCGTACTGCTGAAGAGCCAGACCAGCCCAAGCAGTAGGACGGAGGACACATATGTCTCGCAGTACTCCCTGTGACAGGTTTTCCAATGGTTCTCAAACCACCAACCGATTTCAGTGGTCATGATGAAATCCTCCAAATTCTGTAGCATCTACCTAATTTTTATTTATTTATTCATTCAATCCATTTACAGATTCATATTCTCCCCTCTGGTGAAAGTCATGTGTATTCACGAAATCAAGAAAATAATACGACGAAGTATCCAGATATTGTCAATAATCTAATGGCTAGAGTTCTTCCCCAGTCAAAATTAACACCTCGTGTAGTTGACATGTTAAAGAAAATTGTTAAAAATAATGACAAGAAAGGAGAATCTCAATTAAATAAGGAAGAAGAACAAGAAAAAGACGAAGAAGGGAGTAAACTTGAAAGTTGTATTCTTGACTCTGAAGTTGTCGCTTGGGATCGTCAAGCTGGTCATATTTTACCTTTTCAAGTTCTATCAACAAGAAAGCGTAAAGTGAGTGATTGTACTTAACACTTCTTGGTATATTTTGTATTTTCCACACATAGAGCGCCAGATGCGCTCACGTCATTTATTGGAAAAGGCTTGGAAGGTAGAAAGGAGGTAAAGGTAGGTGCCTACCGATTGATGTTTGGAAGAAAGGCCTGACCATCTCGTGAAGCTGCTAAAAAGAAGGGCGACTTACTCTTTGCTGTGCAAGAACTGACTAGCGTGGAATCATGCAATTTTGTTCACCTACGCCAAGTAAAATGCTAAGTCGTGTTATCTTAGAGTGACTAAAAGATACCCCACGGAACAAGCTGGGTGGATTCAGAAAAGGTAAATCATTTGCTAATCAAATTCCAAGCCTACGCATCATCATCATCATCATGCAACTGAACAATGCATAGAATGGCAGTCAAACCTCTCTCTACCTCAACAACTTCATCGATTTCTAAAAGGCCTTCGACAGTGCAGTGTTGATGGAGAAGTAATTTGGAAATTACTTCAACACTAAGGCGTGCTTCAAGTCTTTATCAACCGAATTCAACAGCTGCCTATATGACAATGCCACGTGTCGGGTGATCCACAACGGAAAACTCAACGAGGCGTTCGAAGTGAATACAGGAGTAAGACAAGCTGGCTGGCTGTCTATTATCGCCAACGATTATGTGGAAGACTGTGCGTTAGGAGAGAGAGAAAACAGGAATACGCCGGCCGACCGATAAGAAGACCATATATATATATATATATATATATATATATATATATATAGGTTGAGCTCCATTGGGATTGTGTATTCATTCCTTGAATCTTGAATGAAACATAAGGCTTTAAGCTTTGAAGTCTCAATTGGGTAGTGATGTTTCTTCTCACGGGACAGGTGTTTGCTAACCTCCCAACTAGCCTTCTCTCTTGTTCTGGCTAAACTAACTACCGGTTAGTCGAGGTTTAGGTATTCGTCGGGAATAATCTCGTTGACTTAGAATATGCAGATGATATCTTCCTCCCTACTAGGTGAAAATGCTGACAAAATCCATCAGATACAGTCTTGTGAACACTTTGAGGAGCAGAAATCCTTGAATGTTTGGCATGCGACTCGCCCTCTCCAAATGTAGGATGATGTTACAGGACTGGACTGGACTACATTAACTTCTAGCTTAGAGATAGGGAGAGAAGTGGTAGAGAGTGTTGACTATTTCAGTGATTTGGGAAGTTGCATCAGCCCAGCCAACGCTAGCGGGTTGATCGCTGACGAAATCTTAGCTGGGTAAGGATACAGAAGGCTCTTTGATGCCAGTTTACGCTGTCTCTGGCTTAGTAGACGTGATATCCGACTGGCTGGTTGTCGAACAAAGCGTGTAAGCATAAGTACTGCTCAGCAGTTCGCTCTGTCCTCCGTTATGGCTGACTGGCTGTGAGACATGGCCATTCAGAGTGGAAGACATAAATAGCCTTGCTGTCTAGCTGTGTTTGATCATAGGTGTCTACGTTCTATCTCCGGTGTTGAGTGGTGGTATAATAAGGTGAGCAATATTGAGGTTAGGCGTCGGTCGGGCGCTAGGTAAGGAAGGAGGAGGGGAATCAATATACAACGCTGTGAAGTTACATCGATTGAGAGATATGGTTAGAGAATGTGTTACGCATGCCTCCCTGCCTAGCCATCGCCTTCCTCGACAATGAGCAATGTTAACTACTGATTGACATAGGATGGATCAGGTTGGAACAGAGTTAGCCAGTGGTGGTGGTCAAAGCAAAACATGGCTTCATCACCAGTCAATGAAATCCACAACAGTTAGTTATAGTCAACGAGACAGCCTTCTGACTAACTGCCTGGTTGGGATCCTCGGGATGGTGGTGAGAACCAATGAAGGCTGGAGACAAATGGTGATATGACTGGCTCAAAGTGATCGTTCTCTGTGATGGCTGGCCGGTGCTGGTGCAGATGCATCCACTCCTTGTGACTTATAATTTCCAATAAAACTATATTGTTCTTCTGTATTAACATTCTTTTCGCCTCATATCTCTGTTTACTGTCTCTATTTTGCATTTCTTTTTACTTTCTTTTGCTGCTTTGTGTGCTACGAGGAGGGAGTGTGGCGACTCGAAGTGCTGCTGCAACATGGTGCAAAGTTCTACGTTGAAAGCAGACAGTCAGTCAGTTAGTCATATCACCAAATCGTCTCCAACCATTTCTACACTTTCTAGGGCAAAGCAAAATCCTGAATTTTGTAGAAATAATCATGAGAAAATTCACTAAAAAAATAATAATAATACTAATTGTGACACAATGACTGTCTATGGTGGTTTGTTTAATAAAGATTTGGTACAGTGTTTTAATCAACATTTCTTGTCTTGTCTTTTTCCTTTCTCTGCTGATAAACAGGATGTTGATGAATCTACCGTGAAAGTGCAAATATGCGTTTATGTATTTGATCTACTTTTCATCAATGGAGTCTCTCTCATCGAACAACCATTACGATTACGTCGTGAAATTCTTAGGTGAGTTGTTGTTTGATCAGTAGTAATTGTTTTTGTAAATATTTTTGTAAAATATTTCTATTTACCGACACCACCACCACTTGTAACCAGCAGCTTCTTACTCATGTTAAAAGTCAATCTGGATGAATAAAATATGCATCTGTTGAATGATTTAGCAAAATGTTGTCTACAAGTCAATCCATTAATAATATGTACTATTAGTGGAATGGTGCATCGGGGAATACGACTGTCAACTGACTGTACCACAGCGGATGGTACTGTATACATAACACCTAGTGTTGCAAGAGGTTGGGATGAGTGCATTCATTTATCTTTAAAACCAATAGGTGTATCATTGTTTGAACAAATTACATATATATACACGAGTGTAAGTAAGCAGAATATATTACTCAATATAAGGATAAAACTTGGGGGCGCTGTGGTGGTAGAATATAACTCCATTATGGATAAACTTTTATTTTGATAAAGTGTCACACACAGAGTGTGCGTGTTTGTTATACAGTAATATATTTACTGATGAAGACCACACGCTTCGAGCACAATGTTTATCATTGCCACTACTACTCGTAATCATAATCATATCAAGGCACACACACACTCACACACCACTCACTTTCTTGTTTCGTCGTTTATATACATGCATAAGTAGAAATTGATGACGATTAGACAACATTTGATCGAATAAAATCAATTAGCAATATAAGATGAGAAGAAAGTACATTCGGAAATGATGAAAGTAATAATGATATTAGTGTTATCAATCAGTCAAATACAATCAGATGATGGGATAGGAAGGGAAGGGAAATAAGACGAGTGTTTTTATAGTAAAATAAATAAATAAATAACTTGTTGTTAGAATGTTATAATGTGTATGTGAATTGAATTGAAATAGAATACAATTTAAGATTATTTATTATCCTGCTCTGATTTGAATTACTGACTGACTGACTGGTGGTAATAATATCTTGCATATCTCTGGTATCAGGTGACGATGATGATGAATCACTTCTATTGCATGTTTTGTGTTTTGTTGGGTGTGTAGACTCGATGAATCAAGACTCAGTATTCCATCTCTCTTTCACTCTCTATCTCCACCTACCTGCAATATTTTTTAGAATGTTGACTCTGTCCCACCCACCCTTCTGCGTGTTTGTGTGTTAATGCATGCAGTGCCATGTAGTGCTGAGTTATCTTTTCTAAATTACTAATCTACGTGGGTGGGGTGAATCATTCTAACCTAAGCTAAATTCTCATGTTCTGACAGTCAGTCTCACTACTCCTGCTTGATCCACTTGTCTGACTGACCTATGTAGGTAGTTGACCTAACTCACAGTCATTGCAAGGTATTTTGTTGAATTCGGTCCACCAATTACTGAAAAGATATCGTGTCACGAGTGATGAACTGGTATTTTGGATACATTTATTCTCTAATACTGTATTCGAATAGCTTAATAACTCATCATTTACTCTCAAGTCCATAAATAACAAATGAATAGTAGTAATGCGGTGTTAAGATAAATAGTAATATTGAGTTTGACAAACGTCGTGCTCTATGCTGAAATCGATTACAAAATATTGCGGTGAAATGTGAGACAATGAGGATGGTTCGGTTAAAAGAGCCATATTTAGAAAGCTGGAGACCAAAACTCAGTATACACACACCTCTTTAGCTTCGTACCGATGAAATATAAACGTAATCTGATCAGGTGTTTAGCATTTGTAGTGACGTCCATTTGTTTCAAAGACTGTGTGGAGAAAGATATTCTAAGCGAGAATGGATATCCAGAGAAGTTCATTAAAGCCAATATAGTTCAAAATACTAGTAAACACGAACAACTGGCAACGGTGGAGAAAATGCCTCTATTTTTACGTCTACAATTAAAGGGAGATACTCCTGTGGAGATTCGATTGCAACGTTTAACCAGGAAGATAAAGAAAACTTTCCACTCCTCAAATCTGTTCCTATCCTTCAGTAGCCGTACGAACTGAAAAATGTCTTACCTAACCTTAGTTCTTCTTCATGTATATACCATTTCAACTGTTCCTGTGGTTCAAGTTATTTATATAGGTTGCACGATTAGGCAGGTTCGTTTACGGGTTCGAGAACATTTACCAGTTTGATTCAGCAAGGGGAGGGGAAATTAAGTGCATAAAAAGCTGGATCCTGTCACACGTGGTCGATGCTACTGGACATCGCATCGACGTCAAATACAGCTTTCAGGTCCATATACCGAATTCCGAAGTCGTCAGCACGTACAGTTCACTTACGTCTCCTACACATAGCTGAAGCTGTTCTAATAAGATCGACTAAACCGGAACTTTATGTCCAAAAAGAACACTTCCAGATGCTATTCCTACCATGGTCAAACTTGGATTAATGATTCTTCGGGACGGTAGAAACCAACGAAGGCTGGAGACAATTGACGATGATATGACTGGCTCAAAGTGATCGTCCTCAGTGATGGCTGGCGCTGGTGCAAATGCATCCACTCCTTGTGACTTGTAATATCCAGTAAACCTATATTGTTCTTCCATATTACTGTTCTTCTTGCCTCATATCTCTGTTCTAAATCTCTTTACTTTCTTCCCTTGCTTTGTGTGATAAGTGAAGTGTGGCAACTCGAACTGCTGTTGCACATCTGTGCAAAGTTCTACATTGAAACCAGTCAGTCAGTTAGTCAGCTAACTTCCATCTTGTATGTAACAGGTGTGTTTCAGTTGAGACGTAAAGTCAAAATCTCGGGGTGGGGGAGGGCTTTTTTATATCCTCTCATGAAAATGAGAAGTAGACATTTTAACGCGCCTACCTCGTATTTTGTGGTGGTAGTGGTCGCGCCTTGCAAGGATGTGTTAATGTGTTTTATATAAAATTCTGTCTATTTTAATCTTTCAATATTCGATTTTGTCTCTCATCTTAGTTGTTCTGTTGTCTACATGTCAGGTGCTGTAATATATTTCATCTTTTTTAAAAATATTTCTATTTTTTGTCTTTCTTTGGACCTCTGATGTCTATATATTTGGGCCATTCAGAATCAGCTCTTGGTTGTTGAACACCTGATATCTATGGTCGGCCTGCATAATTTGGGCTACCGATATCACATGCTGAAAATTCCATACCTGTACCAAAAATACGGTGCGGAATCAAGCTGTAATCAAAAATAATTAAAAAAATTGTTGTTGTTGCAAAGTTTTACAAAATGATTTCAAGTCACAAACTTTAAAGTTACATGAACTCTTCGTTCTACAATATCAGATGGACAGAATAGACGTGTATGTAATACTCAATTACTACTACTGCTTTGGCTAGTTATCCTACCGATGATGTTAGACTGTGACTGAATAGTAAAATTTAAAGATGCCCTCCTAAACTATGGATCACCGTCAAATTTCTATTTCATATGGAACTCTAATAGGTTCTTCTTACTTCTGCCTACTTACGAGCGGAATAAAATGCAGAATGATTTCAATGAATTCAGGCATCTTAATGTGGATACCATAAGATTTGGTTACACACTTAATGATGATAGTGTGTCGTCGAATTAGAATTGTTTCTGTGTTTGGAGAGAAGTAAAATTTATCATCAAGCTGTACAATCGTATATACATGGTTTTTAAGAAGTTATATCCGGTGTGGGAATTGAAACATAGGTGTGAATGCATAAGATAATAATAATATGAAATGCAATTAAAACTAAAATGTTTGTGATTATAATGGTAGTTAGATGTCAAGTGGCAAAGCAAATTAATGTCATATATAGAATAATTCATAGGATGGACAGAACTTGAAAAAGGTGTGCAATTATAAGGTTAGCAGACAAATTGACAAATCTAGCCATCCTATGAATTATTCTATATATGACATTAATTTGCCTTGCCACTTGACATTTAACTACGATTATAATCACAAGCATTTTAGTTTTAATTGCATTTCATATATATATGTATATATATATATATATATATATATATACATACATATATGGTGAGAGCTGTCTACTAGCCGAATTGGTAGACAGTAATTTACGTCAATGTTTACGTTCCCAAGATTTGATGTGAGAAAATATGAACAAAGACTGATTCAAAACCGACCATAGCAGACTTTGCGTAGGTGGATACAGTTAACATATAGATGATCTGACATTTAAGAAACAGTCACAAAGAGATGAAAGATTAACTTTAAGTGAGAAACAACCAATCAGAAGACTGTGTTTGTTTGCTTAACTAAACTATAGTAATGTACATGAAAATATATGAATATGAATATATGTGTAAAACTTGGGCAGTACTGTGGTAGTAAGTAATTCCATACTAGGTTGTATACTAGGTATATCACACAGTGAAACAGTATTATTTACTGGATGACGTTACGAACAAAATTTGTTGTTCATAATCATATCAATTGTGATCACACGACTTTGACACTTGAGTTTTATAGCTTTCTTTGTTTTCTCCTATTTGTCGTATGGGTAGTAGAATTTTCCAGATATCTGGGACAGGTGATGAATCATTCCTATTACATGTGTTTGCAGTTGATTCGATAAACAAAGCTTCTGTTATCAATCTCTCCCTATACCCTGTGACATTAGATTTTAAAACTGTCATCCTATCCCATCCTATTGTATGGTTGTGTGTGACTGCATGTAGTGCTATAGCTGAACTATTCTCTAGATTTCTTATCTTATTCGAGTCAACCAATCTAGACTTTGCTTAGCAAAAGTAATAACTTGCCGCTAACGCCGCCTAAGAATCAGCCTTTCTTGAATTGCGTAATTAATTAATTTTCACCCCTCCTTCAAAAATTGGATATCTTGTTACTAGCATCTATTAGTTAATTGATGTTTTGATAACCTTTCACCCTCCCCCTCCGTATGCCTATAACTGACTAACTTAAATAACCACTTGATTGATTGGTTAAAACAATTTTGATGTAGAAAACGACTATATATTAGTGTAGAGCCAGTCAGCCAGACATCCGATGATGATGAGGAATTACTAATTGAAGTAAAGGCCCGACCGGTAGCTGCTACCTTGACGTGGTGGTGGTGGTCGGGCTGGCACATCGGAATGACCCAACAAGCTACACTGGCTGGAACTATTGTTCCTGCAGGTCCTACAATATCAGGAAGGTTGTTAGGATAGCGATTAGACTAAAAGCAGTTACCGGCATAGTTTAAGAATTTTCTTTTTTTCACTATGCTGGGGGTCTGTGGGTGAATACATACTGCTGAAGAACAGGGATGTAACAGCCGCAGTAAGGTGTTTCCCTCAGTTGACCAGCTAGCTAGCCAGCTTTGCTGTCTCTCCACCAATCTGGAGAGAGTGAAGGGGGATTAAGTAAGGTCGACCCAAAAATTGTACATCCCGTCTAACCCCACCTACGGTGGTGGTCTGTAACCGGCAGTAAGTTTACTTATACGGATTGGAACCAATCTAAGAAACCACTTCATAGGCTGCGTGTGTGATCGGCCGGCATCAAGCAGTTGTCCCCTAGCGTCAACTGCGGTTACGCATGACTAACTCTTTCTGTTTCAGGTGCCCGAAAAATCAATCAACTTCCACGGTGTGGGCAGCCGGGAATTAACAACCGCCCATACACTCCCAAAAGCACACGAAGCCTCCCCAAGAATCATTCTCCTTTACCTACATCACCTTCACCTCTCGAGTGGAACCCGAACGGGAAGCGCCGAGTTGGTCGTCCGAGGGTGATATGGAGGAGGTCATGTGAAGAGGAGATTAAAGCATGTGGGCCAGGTGAAAACGTCGGCAGAGAGCCGAACGTAATGGAGACGTGTGGCAGAAGCCCTGTGCTCCTCTAAGAATGAAAGGAAACAATAATAATAATAACAATAATTAGTCTTGGCTTTTTTTTTCATTCCTTTATTACTCCTATTATAATTGTTATCTTTTTAGGGAAGTCTTTCCTCGAATCTCTGGTGAATTCATGATGGCAACCTCTCTTGACTCGTCGGACACGGATGAGATTGCAACTTTCCTGGATGAAGCCATTAAAGGTATGTCTGCGTATGTGCGTGTTCAAGAATAAGCAAATTATTTGTTTTGCGAGTTTGATCACGGTTGGATTGATAACTCAGAGAGAAAAGCATTGTAAACCACCACCAGTCACAGGGAGTACTAGCCGACAGCTGTTTCATCTGTCTAGTTTTGGCAATCATCGGGGCAGTACGCAACCATCCAAGACCTTCTGGTTACAAGGCAGCCAGCGGATGAATTCTAACTTCTACCAGTTCGTCGTACATTTAGCGCGACTAGCACCAACGAATGTCATCGCGGCGGGAAATTCATCCTCACGTGGACGACCGGACGGACCTCACTGGTGACGACTTCTCAATAGAAGTCTAAGAAACTGCGTCCTGCAGCAAGTCATGAACTTGCCTTTGTAACCGGAAGGTCCTGGGTTCGAACCCCCAGTCGAGGGGGGGCGGTTGGTTGCGTGCTACCGTTGATTCCTAAACTAGGCTGATGAAACAGCTGTCCCCCAAGCTGGTGGTTTTCAATGGTTCTCTAACTGATATCGATCATTCCGTATTCAAACTCGTAAAAACAAGCCTACCTACTCCTTACAAATCAACTCTTGCAAATTATTTATATTTGATATTTTACACAATTGGGAAAAATCCCTATCACAGTTAATTTTTAACATTCTGTTCCCTCCTTTACGGTTAGAGTGGGGACATACTGAAACAGTAGAAGACGAAGTCTCGTTAAAGGAATGTTTCTTTGGATAATCTGTATCTCTGTATATCCAAATTGTGTATACTCCTTATCTTCAACGCATCATTTGCACAGACACATCTTCGTGTTGTGCCTACTACTTCTCGCCTTCCTTCATACTGCGTGTTTCTTTGTATGTGTTCCTTTCACTCACGTCTCCCTCGTGTATCTCCGCAAGCAAGGCTGTATCATTTACCTTCTCTGGCATCAAATGTATCTATTCCGGCTATTTGATGTTTTATGCTAGTCGATGAACGTCTCTTTATATATTACTTCTACTGTGGTGACAGCCGGCTGCTAGACAAATTGGTAGACAGTAATTTACGTCAATGTTTACGTCCCCAATATTGGTCGTGAGAAAAATATGAACAAAGACTGATTCAACAACCAATCACAGCAGACTTTGCGTAGGCGGATACAAATGGGAGATATATAATCTGAACTTCAATAAACGGCCACAAAGATATGAGAGATTACTGTTCAGCGAGAAACCACCAATCAGAAGACTGTGTTTGTTTGCTTACAATAGTCTATAATAAAGTACATGAGAATCTATAAATATCTGTTGATTTCCTAAATAAACGATCTGTTGACTGGCTCCTGTCTTCTGTTGTTACACTACTACTACTACTACTACTGATAAATCTTATCAGTGGCACCCGCCACAATACGGCTTCAACAAGATTGAGCTCCGAAATTCCAGTACTAACCAGTGGTTTTGCTTTTACTAGCTATCTAGCTAGCTCAACGTGCTCAGCCTTCCCCTTTCATCATCGGGCTTACCATCTATCGGCTGCTGCTAGATGGAGTTTAAGAGTGTGTGGATATCGAATCGTCCAGAGACCACTTGCCTGGCATGGCATGGTTGACATGCATTCCACCGCTGCATCCTTATGAATATTAAACTGGAGTTCATTGTTGTTTTACCATATTCTTCAGTGTAGGCGTAAAATATGCCAGTCAAGTGTGTTTCATCCAGCTGATATTAGCACCATCTTCAGTAGGTAATCATACTTCAGTAGGGTAAGTAGGTTTACAGAATAAAAATTCATTTACTCTGTTTGTGTAATTGTTTACACCGTTTTCGAACCCTGGTGGATGCATACTGCTGAAGAGTCATAAACTAGGACGAAGCAGCTCTCCAGTACTCCCTGCAGGCTTCTCAGTGGTTCTCTAACCAACCGATTTCATTGCTCATGATGAAATCCTCCAGCCATTTTTAATTTGAATAAAGCTAGAACAACAGTTTTCGCAATTTTGGCTTCTCGTCAGCTCAGCTGCTTACAGGCCAAGGACATTATTAAGTATAACTACGGAAACGACTTTAACATACTCGCACAGAGTTCATTATTAAACAAAAATCAATCAATCAATCAATATATGCATACAGTAATAACATATAATATTTAACACTATTCCGAACAATAATCATCATACACAATGGAAACTGTCGGCTTTACGTCATCAGATGAAAGAGAGGTGAAAATATCCAGTTACCAGGGCAAAGAAAGACTGATACTGACTGCTTCTTTTTGAACACATAAATAAATCGGGATACAGTCGCTTGATGGAGATTGCTTCGGCAAACTTGAGGAGAATTGAACTCTTTTGCCTATTGATAATTTTGAACGACCTTGCGACGTCCACCTCATGACCGACCCGTATCAAGGAGATGCTTGGCGATGACACTGTTCAAGGAAAGCATTTGTTCCCAGCTGGAGACATAGGCTATTTGTTATATGTTCAGAAAATCGTATGTATGTAGTTCTTCTTCTTTCTGTTCTTCCAATGTAACTGCTCCCGCAGATACATGTAAATTTGTATATACAGTTAAAGTTGTTAACATGAGAAGGATATCTGTCGATATTTGATTGCACAAAAGAAGAGCAAGTTGTTCGATGGACGGGAACCAACTCACTTAGCCGCAGGATAGGCTCTGTCTAATGACATCCCTATTCTGCAAAAACTGTTGTTCTTGCTGTATTCAAATTCATTTACGGGGAAGAAATTTATGGAACCATTTTTAATCAGTTAAAACTACCTTTATTTGTAAAAAAGAATAATGATTATTTTTAATAATTTCAATACCAAAGAAAAATAAAGCTTCACTAATTTCTTTTTCTCTCCGAAATCACATTGTAGGCAACTGTGAAGGATTAATGATTAAAACATTAGATCGTAACTCTACCTATGAGATTGCAAAACGATCTCATAGTTGGTTAAAACTGAAAAAAGACTATCTCGAGGGTGTAGGCGACACCCTGGATCTTGTTGTGATTGGTGGTTTCCATGGGACTGGAAAACGTGCTGGTCGTTATGGTGGTTATTTACTTGCTTGTTATGATGCTGATTCTGAAGAATATCAAACCATATGCAAAGTAAGTGAGCGCTTTAGAGACATTTCTTCCTCGTGACTGTTTTGTACCTTCGCTTTTTCCATTTAAAGTTTGTTGATTAGATATATCACACACACATGGTCAATGAAACTTGATGACGACGCCTTTCGTACACAGTTTATTTATTTATTGTTCATAATCACTTCATCAATTATAATTACACACACACACACATACACACAACTTCGAAACTTGAGTTTTATGGTGTTCCCTGTTCTCTCCTATTTGTCGTCGTCCAGATGTTCGGGTGGACAGTTGTTGAATCATTCCTATTACACGTATTCCCCCGTCTCAGTTGATTTGAAAAATATAACTTCTGTTATCAACCCCTTCCTCCATCCACCCTGTTAGTTGTTCTAGATTTTAAAACTGTCATCTTATCCCATCATCCTATATTGTATGGCTGTGTGTAATTGCATGTAGTCAGTCGTATAGCTGAACTATTCTCCAGATTTCTTAACTTATCTCCGGGTCAACTAATCTAGATTTCGATGATAGGTTTTTATGCTCCGCTAAGCTGACTGACTGTGCACCTGTTCTATTACTTTCACCTGACAATCATTCCAGTAGGGTATTAGATAAACTAAATTGTTTTGTTTTATTGGCTCCACAGGATCCTTTAACTGACAAGGCTTGTTTCTAATTCAGTTTGAGGGTGGTTTGAATGCCAACCACTTTTATTCCTGCCTGCATTGTTAAGAATTCTCAAACGTCAGCTGGTTTCTGAGCTTCCTTTTCTTTGTATGGAAGTACTACTGATGGCGGCTTAAATTCTCTATTGTTGCTGTTGTCATTATCTCCTGAACATGTTTGACATGCATGCCGTCATTAATATTATTATTTATTTTATTCTTACTTTTCCCCCTACATACCTCCTGATTAATTTATCAGGGTAGTTATTGATTAAGTTTCAAAGCTTCTCGTATATGCCTCACTTCCTGTCTAAGATTTTCTCCCGTACTACTAGGGTTTTTTGTGCCCAATTGTCACTTGAACATTTCACCATTCCTATTTTTACTGACATAGATATGATAGGACGATCGGAAATTTAGATATCGGTTTGAATGTGTGTGAGTTTCCTGTAAACACTAGTGTGTTCAACTTTCCGTCTTCTTTCCTTCTTACGCTACAATTTCACATCCCTTCTTGACTTTCGAATTCATAAGTGAATTCAGTTGCCTCCACCTTACATTTTGTGTGGGGACTGAACGTTTCAATTGCTAAGTGTTTATCGAATCAACTGGGAGAGAACGCGTGTAATAGGAATGCTTCAACACCTGTCCACGTAGACATCTGGAAAATCCTACTACTACCCCTATGACGACAAACAGGGAAGCAATAAAGAAAACCATAAAACTCAAGTTTCGAAGTCGTGCGTGTGACTATAATTGATGAAATGATTATGAACAATAAATAAATGAATAAATCACTTGTGTTCGAAAGGCGTCGTCGTCCAATAATCAATAATACTACTGTTTCAGTGAAACTATGTGTGATATATCTTATAAACAAATTAATATGGAATTACTTATTACCACAGTGCTCAAGTTTTACACGTAATTTTTTAAAAATATTTTTATAGCCACTGTCGATGTGTGCTTGAGTAATGACGCTTTATTCTTTCTCCTCCTGCTTTATTTTCTTCTTCTCCAGATTGGAACAGGAATTAAAGATGACGAATTGGCATCATTCTCAGACTTCTTCAATCAGCATATGATTGAGGATGCAAAACCGTATTATCAATATACTAGTGGTTTAGTTCCAGATCAGTGGTTTGAACCAGTACAAGTATGGGAAGTCAAAGCAGCCGACTTAAGTATATCACCGGCACACAAAGCAGCTGCTGGTCTAGTAAGTTTTTTTAAAAATAAAAGTTTTTGTTTTTATGCTGGGATTGACTTGTTACTTGACCACGGAATAATCTTGTTGACTTAGAATATGCAGATGATATAGTCCTCCCTCCTGGGTGAGGACCAGCTGAGTCTTCTGAAAACCTTGAGCTGAGCAGCAATCTGCGAATGTTTGGCATGCGATTCGCTCCTGCTGTCAAATATAAGATGATGGATGCTACAGGACTGGACTGAACTTTATTGACTCCTAGATTAGAAATAAGGAGTGAAGTGGTTGGTGGAGCATGTTAACCACTTCACTTATTTGGGAAGTTGTTACATCAGCCCAGCCAACGCCAGCGGGTTGATCGCTGACGAAATCTCAGCTGGGTACGGATACAGAAGGATCGTTTCGCGTATGCCTGCCAACCTACGCAATCTCTGGTGTGAGCGTGACATCCGACTGGCTGTCGACCAAAGGAAGTGTGTACTGCTCAGCAGTTCGCCCCATCCTCCTTTATGGCTGGCTGAGTGAGACCTGGTCATTGGAAGTGGGAGACATGAAAAGTCTTGCTGGCTAGCTGACTGTCTTTGATCATAGGTGTCTGCGTTCTGCCTCCCATGTCAGGTGGTGGTATAATAGAGTGAGCAATATACAGGTTAGCTGTCGGTCGAGTGCTTGGTAAGGAGGGGAAATAAATACACGAGGCTGGGAAGTTACACCGACTATGATGGTTAGCACATGTGTTACACGTCTTCCTCGACTGACAATGGGCAATGTTAGCCACGGACTGGCAAAAGATGAATGAGGTTAGATAAGAGTTAGCCAGTGTTGGTCAAACGGAAACATGGCTTCATCATCAGTCAATGAAATCCACAACAGTTAGTTCGAGTCAGCCACGTAGGAAGGTGTAGACTTCCTGACTGGTTGGGATCGTCGAAATGGTGATAAGCGATGAAGGCTGGAGACAGTTGACGATGATATGGCTGGCTCAAAATGATCATTCTCGGTGATGGCTGGCTGGCGCAGATGCATCCACTCTCTGTGACTTATAATATCCAATAAAACTATTTGCCTCATATCTCTGTTTTGAATCCCTTTTTACTTTCTTCTCTCGCTTTGTGTAGTAAGTGAAGTGTGACAACTCGAATTGCTGCTGCACATTGGTGCAAAGTTCCACGTTGAAACTAGTCAGTTTTCGCACCAAAATGTGTTATGCGGCTACTGTTGATTTATTTATTACAATAACATGAGCTACAAACTTACAACCGAGATGTTATATCTATCTTCTTGTATTCAGCTGATGTTTTTACAGATGGAAACATTTTGTGACTGATGCATAAGTTTGTAATGTGGTCACTACATTAGTTTCCCCCGAATTACTGCTTATTCCTAGACGAATGAGTCTATATTGAGTCATGTGGAGTGTATTGTGTAGGAATAATTAGAAATCTTATTCCTTTGTTGGAGCAGAGGAAACTCTGGACTGAACACTTCAGAAAACTTCTTAGTCAACCGCCATCTACAACGCGCCCAAGAATACCAACAGAGGAAGCAGAACTACCAGTGGATACCACGAACCCTCCGACGAAAGTAGAAATCCTGAAGTCAATAAAGATACTGGAAAAGTAGCAGAAGCAGACAGAATCCCCGTAGTGGCATTGAAAGTGGACCCAGAGACATGAGCGTAATTGATAACACCACTACTGATTCGGGTGTGGAAAGAGGGCAAGGTACCTCTGAGGATTGCTAAGTAAGGCTACTTATTCAAAGTGCCAAAAAAAGGAGACAATTCAACGCGAGAACTGGCGCGGCATTATGCTCATGTCTATCCCAAGCAAAATACTAAGTCGCATCATCCTGGAAAGAATCAAACATGCCCTGGATAAAAACCTTCGACCAAAATAGACTGGTTCAGGAGGAACATGTCATGCATCGATCAAATCACAACACTATGGACCCTCACTGAGCAGAGATTAGAATGGCAGTCAGCTCTCTATCTCTACCTCAACTTCAACCACTTTGAAAAGGCATTCAGCAGACAGAATTTATCGAGAGGTGATTTGGAAACTACTTCGCTACTACGGGGTGCCGCCAGTAATTATACATCTCATCCAAGAGTTCTACGATAATGCAGCGGATGTCAAGTAATCCACAACTGGAAACTCACGGAGTCCTTCGTAGTGAAAACGGGAGTATGATAAGCTGGCTGCCTACCACTATCTTCAATGACTTTCCTGATTGTGATAGACACATAGCAGGCAACAAGGAGACGGGCATAAAATGGACCCACACAAAATAATTGGGGAGTCTGGATCGAGATTTTGCCGATGATATCTGCCTGAATTCCCACACACTGTAAGATATGCAAGTGAAAACCAACAAGTTGGCAGAAAAAGCATCCAGAGAGGCCTGGACGTCAGGTTGAAGGTAGAGAAAACAGATGTGGTGATGGTGAAGATTCCTAGCCAACGACAACACCCACAGCAACAACAGACAACAATCAGCATAAATGGGAGAAACCGGAAAGGAGCAACCTCCTTTACCTGCCGATCTACCTACCTGGGAAGCATCGTTTCTACTACAGGCGGACGGAACTGATGAGGATATAATCATAGCGAGAGGATCGGGAAAGCAAGGAAAGCTTTCATTACTCCCATCAAGTCTGTGTGGAGGTGAACAGCCTTTCTCAGTATGAAAAATAAGATACAGGATTTTCAACTTAGATATGAAGTCAGTGCTACTATACACGGATCAGGAACTTGGCGCCGTGCCGCACCGCGTCATGAAGGCCACTTCGAACAAACTACACACCTTCATCAACAGCTGACTTCGCTCGCTCAAGATCAGTTGGCCGGCCAGAAAAGATCAGCAATAGACAGGGATCTCTGGCAATGAAACGAACCGAGCAGGAACCAATTATGTGCAGCAAATATGCAGGAAGAAATGGAGGTGAAAAAAACAAACCATCAAGTTAGTGGTGACATCACACGCCAGACTCTCTCTCTCTCCCTCGAGTGGAATCCGAATGGGAAGGAAGTAGTGAGTTAGTTGGTCGTCAATGCGCGAGGGTGACATGGAGGAAGAAGAGATGATGCGAAGAGGAGATGAAACCATGTGGGCAGTAGCATGGAGCCAGGTGATGAGAAGATGTTGGTGGAGAACCCCGAACGCAATGGAGACGTGCGGCTGAAACCCTATGTGTTCCTCTAGGAACTAAAGGAGCCAGTAATAATCATAAAAATTCTTTTGATTGTCCAGTTGTTACAATTATTGTTATTATTATTACTATTTCTGTCATCATTTCCATATCACATTTAGGCTGATCCACAGAAAGGCATTTCACTGAGATTCCCACGATTCATTCGGATACGAGAAGACAAAAAACCTGAAGACGCAACAACAGCCCAACAGGTAAGTATGCCTTTAACCAACTGATAAAAAAATCACCCTTTTCGGTTATTACATAATATAACATCAGCTGATTTTCTCAGTTCTTTTACACAAAATCACTGTTGTAACTGTTTCTTTTTTGTGATGATTGCCATTTAACTTGACTAGAATGTGCGCCAATCGATCAATCACTTGAAAATATCCTCATTGCCTGAGACAGATAAACACGAGAGTCGCATTCAACTGTAACATTTATTTTCCTCTTCTTTTATTTCTTTACGTTCCCAGTGTGGAACGAACATAGGGCGTCTGCAAAACCTAGGAAGACTTAAAGTTTCGGCAGCAGTAGTGTTTATTTTTTACGAAATGGGTTTGCTAGCCAGCCCCACGCCCCCCCCAACCTTCCCTTTTTACCAGTTTTATGACTACTATCTAAGCGTGAGGAAAAGGAGTATGTCGGTGGTCGGCCGGGGATCGAACTCCGAACCGCATGGGGGCGTGGTTGGCGGGCATTGTCACCGACGCACACCATGTGACATTTAAGCCCATAAACAACACAACAAACGAATCAAGAAACTGTCCCAATTCAATCAGATTATCATATCCAGTTAGTTGCATGCATAAATAATCACGACTAACTACTACACGAAGCTTATCCGTTTAAACAGTGATTTTCACACTTCTTGCATATTTTTTAACATTTCAAACAGCTACATAAGAGTGAATATGTTTGCATAGTGTTGTTACTTCATTTGTAGACCTTTAAAACAGTTTGAACACTGATTGATATCAGTTAAAGACGCATTGAAAACCACCAACAGCCACATGGAGTACTGCCACACAGTTGTTTCATCAGCCCAGTTCGGGAATCATCGGCAGTACGCAACCACCCTCGCCCCCCCGAACTCGAACCCAGAACCTTCTGGTTACAAAGGAAGCTCGCACAAGCTGTCTTACAGTACTCCCCCCAGCTGGCCTTCAATGCTTCTCCAACTAATATCAATCAACCAACTCTTGGAAATAGATCTGATACTCGCTAGTCACCTGCTACAGACCAGAGTTTCCTAGACTTCTAGTGAGAAGTCGTGTGACCAGTGAGGTGTCCATCCAATCATCAAGTGTGAGGATGGATTTCCCGCCGCAACGATGCTAGTCGCGGTAAATGCCTCATGAAGTGCTAGGACTCATCCAGTGATTGAGAATGGTCTACGAGCTAGCTCGTCTTATAACTGGAAGGTCCTGGGTTCGAACCCCCAGTCGGGGGTGGAGTGGGTCAAACTCGATAAAAAGCAAATCTATTCCTTACCAAACCAAACTCTTGCAAACTTTTTTAAAAGGAAAAAAATCAGTGTTGCATTGTAATATGCATTTTATTCATTTTCTTATCACACATCATTTCCTAATTTTTCATTAAAAAAAAATTCCAGGTCTATGAATTGTATCAAAGTCAAGAACAAATAAAGAATCAACAGAGTTGTAGTAGCAGCGGTAAAAATACAAATCCTAAGAATGCTGATGATGACGACGACGATATGTATTAAATGTAATGTGTTTTTGTGTCTGTGTATTTTCATATCCATAAAATCTATTTTGATATACACACAACCACACATCATCCTTTGACATTATTTCATACAAAACCACCAAAGATAAATACATATTATAAACATACATCACGAAATGCTTTGTTGTGTTTTGTTTTAAAAATATTACAAGCAGTTACAACAGTTTAGGAAGCGATCGTAATCTCTCCAAATCTAAAATTGGACTATTTACAGCAGCAGCAGCAGTAGTAGTAGTTGATGTATCATTCCCGATGGGTAGAATTCCACCATTGTTTGCCAGTGGTCGTTGTCGTGGTGGTGTATGTGTTCCACCAGAAGAGGAGTTATCATCATCACTTATTGTAGATAAATAGTGAATAGCATCAGTAGGGTAGACTTTATTGTGTTCAGTAGTCGTCATCGTCGTCATCAGATGCGATTTATCCAGATGAAGGTTATTCAACAGATTTGGTAATGATTCGCCTAGAGTTAAACTTGCTTGTGCATCGCTGGTTTTTGATCCAATAGATTCAAATGGGATTGAAGATAATGGACGATTGGATATTATAGCAGGAGGCATGTTATTGTTCTTCTGTTGTACGCCATAATTTTGTACGGACTTTTTGTACTTGATTACTGGTGTACTGCTTACAGGGGTAGTGAAGTGTTCAGTGGTGGTACTGTTTGTCGAGGTGTCAAGAATACCATGACGTTTCATATAATCCAGTGTTGCCATGCTATAGTCGATTTCTACAGATGACTGTTCTGAATTAATGAAATGATCTGTTGAAGAAGTATCGAGCGACTTCTTTTTCCCCAAGTATTTATTCACTAAGGAAGCTAAGTACAGACTTTGGTTTGTATCAGTCATCGGATGACTGATCTGGTCTTGCTGTTGCATACAGTTAATATCATTAACAGAGCTGTTGTTGTTGGTCGTTAAACCAGTCTGGTTTGTTGGACCGTGTCGATCTGAGTAGGTATGGATTTCTTCTCTGGAATAAGATAATAAAGTATGCGATAGATTAAGTCACAATAAATCGTACATAATAAAAGCTGTTTATGTATTTTTCTTAGGGCAGTAATATAAGACTAAGGTGCGCTTACAACCTTACGTTATACGTTCCAGGCGGGGTTAATGGTGGGGCTGGAGAGCAGTAGTATACCACACTAGGACAATACAGGGGGGGATGCTCAGTGTTTGTGTTTCGGAGTTCTGTCATCTGATGGACGGGGTCACAAAGAAGGAAAAATGGGTTTTCATTTATAACTATTCATACTGCATGAACATTCAAGTGCAGGATATCGAAACTATGAATATTCTTTGTTCAGTCTAACCGTTCTTTTGAACAAAACAAATATACAAACTATTGTGGAATAATTTACCTTGAACAATAACCACTGACAGCAACAGGAGGTGTAGTATCACTAGCTTGAGAAACTGGCATGGAATACTTGTGATTTCTGCCTTCAGCTGGATCAGATGACAGCCAATTCGATACTCTTCTATTGATCTTTTCAGGATTTTTGAATTCACTTGGATTAGAATCGACTCGTTGTTCGTTGTTTTGAGGAAGAAAATTTGGAATGGAATTTGATGTATGAACTTGTTGTTGTTGTTGTGTGGTAATACAATTTGCCTTATTCTCAACTAGAACATTTTCGGTATTCTGATGTCGGTGATATTGTTCAGATTGAGTAGAATTGCATCGTACTACTTTATTATTGAGAACTTGTTGAATATTCGCCTATTTTGGAAAAGAGAGTTATTATATATGTATGTACATATGCGCCATGCAATTAGATCAATATTGTATTACCTACTACCACCCACCTTGTGAAAAACACACAAGCAGCTAAACTGTATCATTGCAATGCTAAAAACAACAACACCTGGAGAGGAGCTGACTACAATCCTACATTGACTCTTTGCTTAGAGAAAGGCAGGAGTGAAGTCGTTGGTGGAGCGTGTTGACCACCTCGTTTATTTTGAGGGAATTTGCATCAGCCGACACAAACACTAGTGGGTTGATCGCTGACGAAATTTTAGCTGGGTACAGATACAGAAGGCTCGTTTCACATATGGCAGTTTACGCCATCTCTGGGTTAGTAGACGTAATATCCGACTGAGTGGATGGGTGGCTGGCTGAGTGAAACCTGGCCATTGAAAGTGCCAGACATGAAAAAGCCGACTAGCTGTCTTTGATCATAGATGATGTCTGCGTTTTATCTCCCATGTTAGATATTGGCATAATAAGGTGAGCAATGTTTAAGTCAGGCGTCGGTCGAGTGCTAGGTGAGGAGGAAGGGAAATCAATAGATCAGGCTGTGAAATAGCTGCATAGATTGAGATGGTTAGGACATGTGTTAAGCATGCCTAGCCGTCGCCTTCCTCAACCAACGGGCACTGTTGGCTGACATACGATGGATCAGGTCGGAAAGAGTTAGCTAGTGGTGGTCAAACCAAAACATGGCTTCATCATCAGTCAATGAAATCCACAACATTTAGTATGATCTAGCCAGCAACATAGGAAGGTGTAGGCATTCTGGTTGTGGTCCTCAGGATGGTGGTGAGAAGTAATGAAGACTGGAGACATTTGGTGATATGGTTGGCTCAGTGATCGTTCTCGGTGATAGTTGACGCAGTATGTCAGTGAAATCCATCCTTAGTCCGATAGCCTTACATCTCTAAGCGTTTCTCTCTACTGTCTTATAAGCCAATCAATTCTGAGTAGACATGAGGAATTAACACGTTGATGATGATGCAGTATTAACAACTGGATGACAAGGTTTCTAACATAAATTACTGCTCATATTAGGTGTGTTCAGTTATGCCTAGCCTCCACCAGTGTATTCAAATTCCAAAATAAACTATATAAACAAACGAGTGCCGTGGTGATGGGATCATCAATATCCCCAATACTGGCAGATATATTTATGAACAGCTGGGAAAGTAAGACTCTTAAAACTTTTAATCCTGCTCCACCTAGGTTATGGTGGAGATATGTGGATGGCACATGCCACCACTTTGTTGAATTCTGAACACATCCCTCAATTTCACACACACATAAACTCAACAGTAAACGGAATCCAATTCATTTCTGAGTAAGAAAATGAACAGGGTGAGTTGGCCATGCTAGACTGACTGTAGAATAAAAAGAAAACAAGATGGTGGATTTTATACTAGCATTTATAGGAAACCGACACACTAATGGAAAATACCTAGACCTTAATTCATCCCATGCAGAATCGCTAAAGGCAGATAGGTTTAGTTAAATGGCTTTATAATAGGGTCAAGCACCTAACTAGTAGTCAGCCAGAAGATTTAAATAACAAAATCAAACAAATAGGGGAAATATTACTGGTGAATAATACACTACCCACCAGAATTTATTCAGAAATATATGAAGAACCATAGGAAAACTAAGACTAACAATAAAAGTGATGAAAATAACGTGAGTAATATAGAATTCAAAGCCTCTGCAGCACTGCCGTATAAAGAAGGAACGTCAGAGGCCTGATGTAGGAGTCCCAATGAAGCTGGAATTAGTCGGGGTGGCATTTACACCACCAACCAGCTTCATTATTGTCTCATTTTATGAATGTATAGCGTTTCTTGACATTCTAGATGAAGTGTTATTCGTTTTATGTCACCTAATCATTGTGGTGAATCTCGCACAATTGTGATTTTAATTGTCATGATCTTGTTACTATAGAAGAATTATTAGGTGTTATAACAGAAACTTCACTGCTCTAAGGGACTGTAATAAACACTTATGCTTGTGGTGAATGAGTCGAATGGATTACCCTTAGGCAGAAAGAAAGCTCACTCACTAATTCTTGCGATTGCATTCGCAACCTATAATCAAAATTATACTTAGAACTAGTGCCTATATTAGTTCTTCGGTCGTTGAGGAGACTCTTGGTCAACAACAGTGTTTGAGCCGCTTTCACTCCTTGTTACTTTCAGAGACAGCAGGAATCAGTCACACCCGCCGCATCTATCAGATCGGACGCTGCAGTAGCAGTCCAATGTGCGTCGGTGGCACAGTGGTTAGGGCTCTCGCCGACCATGCACATGGTCCGGGGTTCGATCCCCTGCCGACGCACACCCGATATCTATGGTTGGCCTGGAAAATTTGGGCTACCGATATCCATGCTGAAAATGTCATACTTGTACTGAAAATACGGTGTGGCATCAAGCTGTAATCAAAAATAAAAAAATAAGAAAAATAAATTTTCTAACATTTGGTTTCAAGTTATTAAAAGCTTTTATGGCTAAGGTAGAGTAATTGACCCTGCTCAGTAAGTTAAATAACCTAGAAAAAAAAGAGCTCAGCCACTGCACTGCATTCACTTGCAGAGATTCACACACCCAATAGGTTGTGTGGGACAGTGTGAGAGTATTAAAAGGTAATATAGTTCATTATAATAAAGGTTTTTTGTATTTCCCAATGAATGGGATAGTGAAAAGTCTCTTGTCAACGTTCAGTCTTTTCTTCTGTCTTTTTACTGCCCGGTGGTGTTACTGTTGTTGCTGACATGAGATTAGGACAGATTAAGGTCAAGTAAAACTTTAAGCACCACTAACTATTAATCAGTGAATGGCCTTGAATGGCCCAATGAGTTTCATCCATGTGAGTTGAAGGTTTTATTCCGCTTGATTCGAGTCAAATATCAGGGAGTTCAGTGGTACCAGCACTGCAGAGATATCGCTTCATGGAAAATTTGAGGGAATTACTTGATTATTAGGAGGAGAAGGTGTCATCGTACACGTGGACGAAACTGTCTCATTGAAGGAAAAATACAACCGCGGTCATAAGCGACCAAACAATGTGTGGGTGATCGGCTAATATGACACATCCATACAGAAAGGATTCGTTGAGAGAATAGCAGACAGAAAGTCAACTACCTTAGTACCTATTATCACTCGACTTTGTGAAACAGGGATCTATAATACATACATGTGAGTGAGTGGAAAGGTTATAACGTCCTGGCATTCTTTGGATATATTCATCACAGAGTGAACCATTCTGGTGAATTTGTAGATCCCATTACAGGGACACACACCAATTCTTTAGAAGGCTTTTGGAGAAGGTTAAAAACAGGATTACAGCTATAAATGGAGTCATTTAGATGAATGTATGTACAGAATGTGGTGTAACTTTTCAATTGATACTCCTAAGCTAAACTGAGAGATGTTTGTATCACATGTCCGAGAAATGTCCCCTATGTTATGACAGTTTTATGCAGTTTTTACGCATCAGTTTTCATAAATAAATGTTTTCCGTAACCAAAAATGCCTCTTTCACGCGATCGGTGCGTTCAAAGTCATTTGTTGATTGGTAGTTAGTGGTGCTTAAAAATTAACTTTGCCCAGATTAGTCAGCGCAATAAGTTGGTATTCGCTCATAGTCTACTAGGGGTAGTATAGTTGCTGTCATAACACATACGAAGTGTTGTGGAACTTGGACACTACAATACAGACCCAGGCTCTTTTTTCTTTAAATTTCTGTTCTATTGCTTTTCATTCCCAATGGAGCGTAGGGCTTTAAGTTTGAGCTTTAGAGTTTCACTAGCACTGGATTACTTTACTTATGAGGTTGCTGGTCGTCTCACGTCCAGCCTTATTTCCTCTTTTTACTGGGAGAAAAGTTTACGAGTGTATCAGACAACAATCGAACCCTGATGGAGACCATGGCCAGCATCCTCTATCAGTGTATCGAGTCTAGCTTTATATATTATGCAACATAAGCAATTAAAAACAACACCGTTACATACAGTTTACAGAAGAAAGATGATCGGTACATAAGAGACGATTTTCTTTTCTTTTCTAAACTTACCAAAAGTAATGTGTATTTGTCCGGAGTATCATTTTTAGATTGTGCATTCATTTGTACTTTATTCCGCACCTAAACAAAAAAGTCAATACAAATATTATATATATATATATATAATTGATGAATGCAAAAAAACTTAGTTCAAGTATTGGTCTGTAAGGATTTTGTCTGATTGATTAGTTCGAGGACTTCATCATGAGCATTGAGTTCGGTTGGTTAGAGAAGCGTTGGAAAACCTGCGACAAGAAGTACTATCAGACAGCTGTCTCCTCCGTCCTGGTTCTTGCGACTGCCTCTTCAGCAGTATGCACCCATTCAACTGCGGTTCGAACACAGGACCTTTCGTTACAACGCCAGAGAGCTAGCTCGTAGACCATGAATTGCAACTTCTGCTAATTCTCGTATAGCCCTGGTGGGTGCGTACTGATGAAGAGTCCCAAACCACGACGGAGGAAAGAGCTGACCAGTACTCCCTGTAGGTTTTCCAATGGTTTTCTAACCAAGGTCAGTGCTCAAGATGAAATCCAGTAACCAACCAACCAATCAAATTTCTACAAACCAATACATGAATATTGAAATCAGAAATCAAAATGAACGTCTAATATCATGAGAACTTCATATCAAATGGACTCCAATTTGTCTGAACTGAATAGGAATGATGGGCTTGAACAGAATTTGACCTGGTTACAAAACACTCCCCCCCATGAAATGACAAAATCAACATGAATGTTATAAGCAATTTCATTACGTAAACACATGCTGCTTTTGTATGATTTTATACACTTATCAAATCCAACAGTCATCTACACCTAGTTTTGTTATCTTTACCAATTGGCCTACTTGACAAAACCATAAAAATTAACCCATGCTGAGGAACGATGATTAAGTTGTTGTGTGTATATAAGCTGACTGGCTGAAACTAACTCTTTCAGATTTCATTGACTAATGACGAAGCCATGCTTTGGTTTGGCTATCACTGGCAAACTCTTTTCCAACCTGATACATCCTATGCCAGTAAGCTGACATAGGCCGTCGGTCGAGGAAGGCGATGGTTAGGCATGCATGAGTAACATATGTCGTAATCATCTCATTCGATGTAACTGCTTCGCAGTCTCGTCTATTGAATTCTCCTCCTCCTCACCTAGCACTCGACCGACGCCTAACCTCAATATAACCCTCGGGTTTTCTTTTATAATGCCATTCTGTCTGCCTTACAACATTTCGACTCATTTAAGTTCTTCTAGATTCCCTTTTTGTCTTTTCTCTCCACCTTTCTGTGTGTGCGCGCGTTTTGTGTACTACATGGTGTGCGGCAAGTTCAACTGATGCACTTTTGAACAGTTTCTTCAGTAACTGTCTCAAACTAAGTTCTTTAAGTGTATAAGCAGACATACATACAAGATACACACAGTGTGACAAGTGCTACTGATAAGATATATTATTGTTATTATTAGTACTAGTATATAAAAAGACATTCATCAGTTGGTATAAAATAAACATTAAATAGCCGGAAGAGATACATTTGACGCCAGAGAAGGCAAATGATACAGCGTTGCTTGCGAAGATACACGGGAGAGACGTGAGTGAAAGGAATACACAAAGAAACCCAACATGAAGGGATGCGAGAAGTAGCTGGCACAACACGGAAGATCTATCTGCGAAAATCGTGAGTTGAAGAAAGGGTATACAAAATTTGGCTGCATTTAGATACCAATTTCCAGATATACGTTCCTTTACCAAGTGTTCGTGTTCTCTGCCGTTTCAACAGAACTTACAGACGAGTTTTATACAATTCGCATCTTTCTCTGCGTGTACTAAATTCCTGTTTATGAAGTGAGGCTACTTAAAAGAATTCCAATAATAAACTCGAGGACTTGTAGGCGAAAACTGGAAACAAACTGGATGAAGAGGCAGCGAAGACAGGACTCCATACAGGTGAACATAGAGAAGTTGGAGACGGAGTTGATGAAGATAACCAACCAACTAACAGCAGCAACAGCAGTATCAATCATTATCAACGGGAGAGATTATCTCCTTCACTTATCCAGGCAGCCAGCATCGTTTCAGCTACAAGCTGATGGCCAACCAGCCAGAATCGGAAAGACATGTAAGATACGCACGCCTTCATCAACCTGAAACCAGCTGGAAAGTCTTCTGCACTGCACTCCGCCTCAACATAAACAACAAGATTCGGATTCTATTCAGCACCAATGTCAAGTCGTTCAGTTCTTCTATATGAGTCAGACACTTGCACTGGGTGTGCGTCACGGAAAGAATTTCCAACAGTTCACTGCAGACTTTTATCAAAAGCTACCACCTTCGATGGCTGGCTGGCTCCATACTGAAGATCAAACAGCCAGCCAGCCGACCAGAAAGAATTACCGACAAGAAACTCTGCAGAGGAACAAACCAACCAACAGAACAAGAGCCGATCGCTCAACAATATGTAGGAGAAAATGGAGATGGATGGACTGGCAATTCCTTGAGGAAACCGTCGAATGATATCTTGAGCAATGCAAGCAATTGCTCGAGTGGAATCCAAATGGAAAGCAACGGACGAGTGGGTCGTCAGTGCGAGCGTGACATGCAGGAGACCGTGTAGTGGAGTTGGAGGAGATGAGAGAATATGATCAATCGTGGACCCAGATGAAGAGGATGGCAGGAAATAGAAGAAAGTGGAGATGTGGTGTTGTTGAAGCCAGCCATATATTCCACTCAGAACCCAAAGGAACACTACTAATAATAGCAATAATAATAATAATAATACAAACTACCCACGGACTATTAACCTAATAACTCAATTTTCTTTTCAAACTTCAATAGCTCACTTACTTGTTCTGACGATTGTTCAGGTAGTTGATTAAAAGTATGCTCAGGGAATACGGTTTCTACATGATTTCGGTGTGTACTGCTTTCTACACTCTTCCGGTGTTTTGTTCTCTTTTCATCAATAACACCGGAGGATGAAGCAGATGTAGGACGTGAAAATTCAACTTTATCGACATTACGAATACTACTTCTACCATTATCGATCAAATTCTCTGAAATAAGAAGAGAATAAATAAAGTACACGCTACATGTATGAAGACAATAAAATATATTGTCATAAATTTCATTTTAACAGGATTTCATCTTGAGTACTGATATTGGTTGGTGGTTAGAGATCCAGTGGAAAACCAGCCACAGGGAGTACTGCCAGAGAGCTGTTTCATCAGCCTAGTTTGGAAATCATCGACAGTACGCACCCACCCTCACCAGGGTTAGAGCCCAGAGCCTTCCGGTTACAAGGCAAGCTAGCTCGTATACCATTCAGCCACTCACTGGTACCCGCCCGATTCAGTGGCCAGTCAATGGATGAACTCTAACTTCTACCAATTCGTCATACATTTAGCGCGACTAGCACCAACTAATGTCCTCGGTGGGACATCCCTCCACAAACTTGGCCACTAGATGGACCTCACTGGTTACGACTTCTAACTAGGACTCACTCTAGGAAGCTCCATCCTGTAACAGCTGTCCAGTACTTCCTGTGGCTGGTTTTCAATGGTTGTCCAACTGATATCAATCCGTGATCAACTCGTCAAAACAAATCTAATCCTTACAAACCAACTATTGAAAATTATTATTATTACCTTGGTAATCTTTGTGTGATTGGATTACCAAACGTTGTGTTAATTATTCTGAAATCCTTTTTTTGTCACTTTGTTTAATTTAATTGCCTTTAATTTTTTCCCCACATATATCGACTTGACAAGTGAAATGTGTGAGGGATCAGATTATTCTTCGAAATGAAGATGGCGCAAATCCAACATATCATAACACATTTGTTTTCAGATAATCTCCGTCTTCTAATCACAACACTGTCCAGAAATATTATTGATAAGAAAAATGAAATTGGTTTACTTTTTCAAAACTGAGTAGTTTTCATATTTCTAAGTGTATGTTATTAAGGCCAGCCAACAATCATGAAACCAGGTAGTTTCAGGTTCAGTTCCAGTGCTTAGAAGAGGCGAAATTCGATTTGAAAAACACCGAATAGGAAGAACGCTATGGTCTGTTTTTCCTCGAAATTAAGTATACTTCGATTTACATAATGAAATCAATATAATTCAGGTTCATTGATATAAGTAAAAACTTGGGCACTGTTGTAGAGTAGAACTTAATTATGGATAAGATTTTCATTTTGATAAAGTGTCACACACACAGAGTGTGTGTGTTTGTTATACAGTAATATTTACCGATGATGACCACACGCTTCGAGCACAATTTATCATTGCTGCTACTACTCATAATCATAATCATATCAAGCCACACACACACTCACACACCACTCACTTTCTTGCTTCGTCGTTTATATACATGCATAAGTAGAAATTGATGATGATTAGACAACATTTGATTGAATCAAATCAATCAGTAATATAAGATGAGAAGAAAGTATTCGGAAATAATAATAATAATAATAGTGATATTAGTGTTATCAATCAATCAGTCAAATACAATCAGATGATGGGATAAGAAGGGAAGGGAATTGAGACGAGTGGTTTTACAGTAAAATAAATAAATAACTTGTTGTTAGAATGCTATAATGTGTATGTGTATGTGAATTGAATTGAAATAGAATACATTTCAAGATTATTTATTATCCTTCTCTGATTTGACTGACTGACTGGTGGTAATAATATCTTGCCTATCTCTGGTATTAGCTGGCGATGTTGATGAGTCACTTCTTTTGCATGTGCTGTGTTGTGTTGGGTGTGTAGACTCAATGAACCAAGACTCAGTAATCCACCTCTCTTTCACTCTCTATCTCCACCTACCTACAATACTTTCTAGAATGATGACTCTGTCCCACCCACCCTGTTGTGTCATTTTGTGTATGTTAATGCATGCAGTACAATGTAGTGCTTAGTTTTCCTAAATTGCTTATCTTCGTGGGTGAGATCAGTCATTCTAACCTCAGCTAAATTCTTATGCTGTGACATGCAATCTGACTACTCTTGCTTGATCTACTAGTCTGACTCACCTATGTAGGTAGTTGAACTAACTCACAGTCATTGAAAGGTATTTTGTAAACTGCATTATTTTTCTGAATTGGGTCAACCTACAGGATCCTTTAACCCACCTACAGAGCTTGTCCTATCTGAGTGAGTGAGTTTGTAAGTTTCAATGCCACCACCACTCTAATTCCTGCTTTATTGAGAATCCTACTGTGGTGAGAGCTGGCTGCTAGCCAAAGTTGGTAGACAGTAATTGACGTCAATGTTTATGTCCCCAATATTGGTGGTGAGAAAATAAGAACAAAGGCTTTGCATAGGCGGATATAGTTAGCATATGGATGATCTGACACAGCCACAAAGAGATGCAAGGTTAACTTTCTCTGAGAAACGACCAATCAAAAGACTGTATTTTCTACTAACAATAATCTACAATAATGTACATTAAAATCTATAAATATGTGTTGATTTTCCTTAATAAACGATCTGCTACCTGGCCCTTGTCTTCTGTTGTTACACTACTACGTGTGAAGGCTGTCAAATGTTCCCTCACTCCTTATATGGTAAAACTACCGCAGATGTCTTATATTCTCTCTTATTTATGTTATTATGATTAGTTTTATTTTGTTTTTGACGTCTTCTGATCTTCTGAATGAATTTTATAGGATAGTTAGTTATTTGATATCAACGCTTCTTCTATCTGTTTTATTTCATCATTTAGGTCTTTTTGTACTATTTAGTGCTACTGCTTGGTTTGTTAGACAATTAAGTAAGCCTGCCTTCACAGACAGATAACGAACGGATGAGATGAATTAAAGTCTAATTATGTCTTAGCAGAATGCGTTGGCTTTTTACAAACGCTATTGTGCAGTTCACCTTCATATATCCAGTCAATTTTTACTCTTGTGTACAAATGAACCAAGAAAGTTGTGTGAGTAATGCTTTGATATGATTATGATAACGAGTAGTAGCCTGAAGCGTGTGTGTGGTGGCATCATCAGTAAATATTACTGTATAACAAACACACTGTGTGTAACACTTTATCAAAATAAAACATTTTATTCATAATGGAATAAAGGTTTATGAATACCACTTGTGAATATTGTGTAATTTGTGGCAACGACCAACCTGAGTACTGATTCTCCGGAACGAGTGAGTGCATACTAACTTACTAATTTGGCAAGTAGTATTACCACTGACAAACAGACTCTAGACGTTGTGGACATTGTAGAGGACTTATGCCTTATGTCATATAAACTCGAAGATATACACGCGGAAAACAACAAGTTGCTGCTAGTGGTATTCAACGCAGACACCACATGATTTCAGGTGAATATATTGGTAAAACAGACGTAATAGAGATAACTGTCATTGCTAACAACAAGTACCAACAGGAGAAAGCAATTTATCTGAGCAGAATCGTTTCAACGATGCGTGGCGACAAGAATGAGGATGTCAAAATCAGGAAAAGGAAGATGGGCCTCGATTAATCTGAAATCATTCTTGGTGTGAATCTGTTGTATAACGAACAAGATTCAGATTATCAACACTGTGATGTCAAGACAGTCAGTTTTTCTATAGAGTTCAGAGACATGTAGGGTCACCGGAAGTATTTCAAAAAGGCTGCACACATTCATCAACTGTTACGTTTGATCAATACTACATATCTGATGGCCAGTCAGAAAGGACGAGCAAACGAGAAGCTCTGACAACAAACTAACTGTCAAACAAATATGCCTAAGAAAATAAAGATGGGTTAGATACACGATGAGAAGACCATCGGGTACCATCAGGCGCCAGGCCTTCGAGTGGAAGGTAAATGCTGAACGAAGAATTGGTTGTGAGTTCAAGGGTTATTATTTGTATTATTCTTCCCTTTAGTTTCTAGAGGAACATAGACGACTTCAGTTGCAGGTCTCCATTGCATTCAGGGTTCTCAGCTGGCTACACATCTGCCCACATGCTTTCATCTTCCCCTTCGTATCACCTCCTCCATGTCACCCTCGCGCACTGACGACCGACTAACTCGCCGCTTCCCTCACATTCGGGTTCCAATCGACAGAGAAACACAGAGAGAGAGAGAGACTGGCGTGTGATTTCGCTACTAACTTGATGGTTTGTTTTCTCAGAGTATGACCACAATCCAATCCACCTCCATTTCTTCCTGCATATTTGTTGCACACAATTGGTTCCTGCTCGGTTGGGTTGGTTCGTTGCTTCAGTTGCCAGAGATCCCTGCCTGTTGCTGATCTTTTTGACCAGCCATCTGATCTTGAGTGAGCGAAGTATTGAGGGAAGGCAGCTGTTGATGAAAGTTTGTAGTTTGTTCGAAGTGGCCTTCGTGACGCAGCACGGCGCCAAGTCTCTGATCCGTATACAGTAGAACTGATTCCACATTGGAGTTGAAAATCCAGATCTCATTTTTCATGCTGAGGAGTGCTGTTCATCTCCACACAGACTTGATGAGAGAAATGAAAGCTTGCTTTGCTTTCACGATCATCTCGCCTTGATGATATCCTCATCAGTTCCGTCCGCCTGTAGTTGAAACGATGCTTCCCGGATAGGTCCGTAGGTTGTTGTTGTTGCTGTTGGCTGTCCTATCTTCTCTGGGTTAACATAGATAAAATTGTATGATGGGGCGGGGGTGGGAATGAAAGCTTCTGGGCCTATGTTTCACTCGGAGGGGAACTTAAGGGAATCATAACAATAATAATATACAATATTTGAGAGGCAGAGAGTAGTACAGGTACCTACCTTTGTACTTCGAATCGATTTCACTGGCTACAAAAGTTGTATTAACACCAACACTAATTCCTGTTTGCAAATGGTCCTTTTTATTCTGATCAGTATTCGGATTGTCATGTTTATTTAACATTTGTGTAATGATTTGTTCTAGACGTTCTAATTGACATTGGGGAATTTGAGATAGAATACTCTGGAGGTTTAAAGTTGTATCATTTGTACTATTAAAAGTTGATTGGATTTCGCATAATAATCCATTTGTTAAATGATTTTGTGTATTTTGAGGAGACAATGTGACATGATGAACTGATGCTGCTGGTGTTGGCGATGGTGGTATTGGTCGTCGTTGTAGGGGATTAGTACATTTAGATTTCGGTGAATTTTTATATCGTTCTGGGTCATAATCTGTGGAATATTCACTAAGTTGTTTAGCAGAATCGTTCAACTTTTTCAGAGGTTCTCTTGGTAAAGATTCCGCATTTAATTCATCTACTATACTACTCGGAGTAGATTGATTACCGCCTGTGAAATTTCGATAGCTGGTTTCAACACCCTCTTCAAGGAGTAAAGATGCTTCTGGAATTTGACAATCTGATAGATCTATGCTAAGAAAATAAATAACAAATAGTTAGTGATTCTTCTTGAATTGTACCATACAACAACAGCATGAATTGATGTATAATATTATTTGGTACATAGAAACTACAGCAAATGGAATGTAGAATGAACACTTTGTCTTATTGGGAAATTGGTAACTGGGAGTTATTTGCCACCCCCTCCCACCCACAGTGAGTGGTAGTCTTCTCACAGAATGGAACTCAGCACTTATCGTTATAAATGCCAAAGCTGACTGACTGACTGGTTTCAACGTACAACATTGCACTGATGTGCAGCAACAGTTCGAGTCGCCACACTTCACTTAGAACACAAAGTAAGAGAAGGCAGTAGTAAGTAATGCAAAACAGAGACAGTAAACAGAGATATGAGGCAAAAAGAATAGTAGTAATATGCAAGAACAATATAGTTTTATTGAATACGATAAATCAGGAGTGGATGTATTTGTGCCATCCGTTGACAACGATTACCACCATCTCGAGGACCCCAACCAGGTAGTCAGTCAAGAAGTCTACACCTTCCGACGTGGCTGATTCCCTGACTGGCTGGCTTAAACTATCTGTCGCAGATTCCATTGACTGATGATGAAGTCATGTTTTCATTTGACCACTACCACTGACAAATAGTTGGTTATGCTAATTAACTACTTCAAGATACTTGAATTGTACGGCAGAAAGTAGAAGAAAGTAGAGATGTGGTGTTGTTGAAGCCAGCCCTATGATCCACTCGGAACCCAAGGGTACTGGAACTGATACACACGCATTGTGTTGCTTAACTATGAAGTAGTTCACGATTATTACTTGTACTAATCACTAGTGTCGTGTTATACATATACGAAGCTGACATAAGATGCATCAAGTTGGAAAAGAGTTAGCCAGTGATGGTGGTCAAACCAAAACATGGTTTCATCATCAGGCAATGAAACTCACAACATCTTAATCCATGTAACTGCTTCACAGCCTCGTTAATTGATTTCCCCTCCTCCTCACCTAGCACTTGACCACCGCCTAACCTCAATATCGCTCACCCAATTACACCACCACCTAACACGGGAGATTGAACGTGAACACCACCTATGATTAAAGACAGCTAGCTAGCTATCAAGGCTTTTCATGTCTTCCACTCTCAATGGTCATGTATCACAGACAGCCAACCATAGTGGAGGACGGAGCGAACTGCTGCTGAGCAGTACACATGCATGTTGGTCGACAGCCAGCCAGCCAGTCAGATATCACGTCTACTAAACCAGAGATGGTATAAACTGTCATGTGTGAAACGAACCTTCTTCATCTGTACCTAGCTGAGATTTCGTCAGCGATCAACCCACTGGCGTTGACGTTGACTGATGCAACTTCCCTCTACATAAGTGAAGTGGTCAACACGCTTCACCAACCACTTCACTCCCTACTTCATGAAGATGACTGTGATGAAGTAAAGAACTATTATACTCGACGTGTAGCAGTTTTTCGATCCGAGGTATTCTATAACACTATGCTTTACAAACTAAAAACACTATCATCACTTAATATCTTAATACTCTTAGTGCCCATATATAACAAAGAATTTTTTAAAATCTTTGTAAAGATGTACATTCATACATACATTATTCCCTTGAGTTCTGAGTGGAACATAGGGCTCACTTCAACAGCGACACATCTCCACTTTGTCCTATCTTCTGCCGTCCTCTTCAGCTTGGACCACGATTGACTACAATCTTTCATCTCCTCCTCACAAGATCTCCTCCATGTCACCCTCGCACCGACTGCCCACTCGTCGCTTCCCTCCTTGTGACTCCATTCGAGTGATGGATAGCCTGCATTGCGCGCGATGTCATTCGACGGCCTCCTCAATATACGCCCGACCAATCCATCTCCATCTTCTCCTACATATTTGTTGAGCAATCGGCTTTCGCCTGTTGGTTGGTTTGTTCCACTGAAGAGTTTCTAGTTGCTAATTCTTTCTGTCCGGCTGGCTGGCCATTTGATCTTCAGTATGGAGTCAGTAAAGGTGGCAGTTTTGATGAAAGTTTGCAGCAGACTGTTGGAAATCCACCCCGTGCAGGTTTCTGACCAGTATAGAAGAACTGAACGACCTGACATTGGTGTTGAATAGAATCCGAATCTTGTTCCTTGTTCTGAGTGCACTGTAGATGATTTCCAGACTGGTTTCTGGTTGATGAAGGCGTGTCTTGCTTGTATTTCCGATTCTAGCTGGCTGGCTTTGACATTTTCATCTGTTCGAACTGCCTGTAGTTTAAACGATGCTGGTTTCCTAGATAAGTGAAGGCAGGAAGTGTCGTCTGTCAAATCTCTCCCGCTGATGGTGATTGGTGCTGGTTGTTGTTGTTACCGTTCCTTGTTCATCTTCATCACCTGCGTCACCTGGATGGAGTCCTGTCGTCGTTGCCAGTCTCTTCAGCCAGTTTTTTGGTATTTGCCTGCCTTCAAGTCTTCGAGTTTGTGTGACATTAGACATATTTCATCCACACGCGAAATCCAGATCTTCTAGAGTCTTCTTATCGGTGGTGGTCCAGCGTATTCCCATCTCCTCGCTCCCAAAACACAGTCTGGCGCATAATCGGGTCCACCACAATTAAAAATATCACCGATAATAATAGACAGCCTTTTCTTACTCCTGTATACACTTCGGACGCCTCACTGAATTTTCGGTTGTGGATCACCTGATACGTAGCATTGTCATATAGCCAGCTGTTGAATGAGGTACTGCATGCCGTAGTGTTGAAGTAGTTTCCAAATTACTTCTCAGTCAACGCTGCACTGTCGAAGGTCTTTTCGAAGTCGATGATGAAGTTGTTGAGGTAGTGAGAGGTTTGACTGGCATTCTATGCTTTGTTCTGTTGGATGACGATGATGCGTAGCGTTGCAATTTGATCAGCACCATATGATGTGCCTTTCCTGAATCCAGCCACCTTGTTCCTGTTGGCGGTGGAGTTAGTGGAGTATCCAGTGCATCTTTCATTCTTTCCAGGATGACGCGACTCAGTATTCTTACTTAGCGTGAATGGACAAGACTGGCACGATTCCACACCAGTCAGTTCTTGCACAGTGATGCGTAATTCGCCCTTCTTTGGCAGCTTGACAACAAGGTGGCCAGCACAATGACGTGAGAACATCTGCTGCCGCAGTTTCTAGATCCGTTTTCATACTATGAGTAACTTTAAATTCAATACACTATCTTTTAAAAAACAAAAAACAAAACAAAAGTCAACATGAGACAACTAACTTTTTATACTCGTTACTAACAATTGAACGATGAACAACAGGCAAATTGTCAGGTGAATCTTTCCAGTTCACTGATTGAGGAAGAGAGGAAATTTGCTTTGCTTCTTCACGACAAACAGATTCCCTTTCTACATATTCTATGGGATAGACAGATTTGCATAATTGTCTCACAGAGTCTTTTAAAACAGACATGTACTTTTCCTTAGATGACACATTCTTCGACAGATTCCAAGTGAAACAGTCTGAGTGTTTGAGACTGACGCTTGATGATGCAGAGGAGGATAAACCGGGGTTTTCACAACTTGACAAGACAGTGAATTTCAACTGAAAATTTCGGACAGGAAGAAGAAATAAAGTCAATAGTTAAAACTTATAGTATGCTAATATATATATATATATATATATATATATATATATATATATATATATATATATATATATACCTTGATGACATTAGATGGTTGGAGGCAATCAGCCACAGGAAGCTTTGCTTGACCTAGTTTCCGTGCTAGTTGGCACTCGTCAGCAAGGCGTATCTGCAAACACATTGAAGGAATAACTCATGTCCGTCCTCCGGAGATTCGAACCTACGTCACGCAGTGCCACCTACAATCACAGGCGTTACCACCACTGAGCTATTCGGGCTGGCTCGCGATTGACCTCTTGTAGGACTGACTGTATTGGATATTTTTAATTGAACATTAGTCAATAATTAGTGTAATGTGTCTGGCTAGTCCTTTGTTTGGTGCAGACTGAATTCTATCAGTCAGTCAGGTCTGCAATGTGGCCAGAATTCTAGGTAGCTCGCCATCACGAAACCTAGGTCCAAGGAGTCCTGTGGCCGATTGCTTCCAACCATCGAATATCATCAAATCAATGTAAACCGTGATGGCTAACTGCTTGGTGGCATTGTGGCCACATTGCAAACCTGATTGACTGACTGATAGAGTTCAGTCTGCACCAAACAAAGAACTAGCTAAACACACATCACATTAGTTACTGACTAGTGTTCAATCAAAATATACATATACTACTTATAATTTGTTTTACAACACATACAAACATTATGCTAGAATGATGACTACTTTTCACCAATTATTTTTGATAGTAAGGTGTAATAAAACAAAAAACCATCATCAACAACACTTAGGTACTAGACCACCTGGTGTCCATAGCGACCTGACAGACTGACTGATTTGAACATAAAACTTGGCACCAATGTGCAGCAGCAGCAGTTCGAGTTGCCACACACTCCTTCTATGTAGCATACAAAGCAAGAGAAGAAAGTAAAAAGAAATGCACAACAGAGACAGTAAACAGAGATATGAGAAAAAAAGAATTGTAATATCGGAGGACCATAAAGTTTTATTGGATATTATAAGTAACAAGGAGTGGATGCATCTGCGCCATCCATCACTGAGAACTATTTTGAGCTAGCTATATCATCACCGATTGTCTCCAGCCTTCATTAATTTCTACCGTTCCGAAGACCCCAACCAGACAGGCAGTCTACACCTTCCTACGTGGCTTAAACCGATAGCTGCTACCTTGACGTGGTGGTCGGGCTTGCATATAGCGCAATGACGCAACAAGCAACACTGGCTGGAACTATTGTACCTGCAGGTTCTACAATGTCAGGAGGGTTGTGTTAGGATAGCGAGTAGACTAAAAGCAGTGACCCGCATAGTTTAAGAATTTTCTTTTTTTCACTATGCTGGGGGTCTGTGGGTGAATACGTACTGCTGAAGAACAGGGGTGTAACAGCCGTAGTAAAGTGTTTCCCTCGCTCAGATGACCAGCCAGCTATGCTGTCTCTCCACCTATCTGGGGAGAGTGAAAGGGAGTTAGAAAAGGTCGACCCCAAAAATTGTCTATCCCGACTTACCCTACCTACGGTCCGTAACCGGCGGTAAGTTACTTATACGGGACGGAACCAATCCAAGAAACCAGTTCATACAGGCCGTGCGTGACTGGCCGGCCTCAACCAGTTGTCCCCTCTGCGGTCACGCAACACTTACCCTCTTTCTGTTTCAGGTACTCGAAGAATCAATCAACTTCCACGGTGATGTGGGGGCAGCAGGGAAGTAACAACCGTACACACAATTCCAAAAGCAGCACATGAAGCCTTCCAAAGTGACCAGCCACAAAGCTAGCTAGCATTGAAGAATCCTTCTACATCATCATCTACCGGGTACTAAATAAATTGCCAAAACCATACAGGTACCGGATATTCTGTACATACGAATTTGCCTATATCTGCGAGAGCAGTTACATTGGAAGAACAGAAAGAAAAAGGGTATATCTACGATTTTCTGAACATGTACCAAATAGCCTATGTCTCCAGCTGGGAACAAATGCTTTCCTTGAACAGTACCATCACCAAGCATCTCTTTGATACGGGTCGGTCATGAGGTGGACGTCGCAAGATCGTTCAAAATTATCAATAGGCAAAAGAGTTCAATTCTCCTCAAGTTTGCCGAAGCAATCTCCATCAAGCGACTGTATCCCGATTTATTTATGTGTTCAAAAAGAAGCAGTCAGTATCAGTCTTTCTTTGCCCTGTAAACTGGATATTTTCACTTCTCTTTCATCTGACGACGTAAAGCCGACAGTTTCCATTGTGTATGATGATTATTGTTCGGAATAGTGTTTAATATTATTACATTTATATTATTACTGTATGCATATGTTGATTGATTGATTGACTTTTGTTTAATAATGAACTCTGTGCAAGTATGTTAAAATTATTTCTGTAGATATGCTTAATAATGACTTTGGGCTGTAAGCAGCTGATGAGAAGCCAACGAAATAAACAATGATGCTACCATCTTCTTATTCTGCATAAACCACACTATTGTTCGTGCTTTAATCAAATAACGTGATTCGCCTGAAACAACAGGCGCTCTCTGTGTGTGTGCAGAAGAAACAAGTCCAACCAGTCAGTATTACTGTCCTGGGCGGACTTCAGCAGAAGTTATAAATTCATGAATTCTGTATTATTATCTTTCCTAATTTTTCTGATATTCATTATGTGGCTTTAGAAGTAAAAAATAAAATTTGAAAATTACGTAGTACTCAACAACGACACAAAGGAAGAAAGCGTCAGAAATTTGATAAGGTTAAAATTGCTATTGAGTAATGAGAAGAAAGGTGGTAGTTGAATGTGTGAGAAAGTGTATAAAAGGAACATATGAGAGTGATAATAGTGAATTAATTATTAAAGTAAAAGCAAACTAAAAGTAAAATTGAAAAAAAATTTTTTTTACAGGGAACGACTAGTGAAGAGGTTAAGACCAAGGTAGAATAAGAGACTGGACAAACTTGTTCTGTATACAGAGTTCGGGGGCTGTATTGACGAATCGCCAGCGCCTCCGCCATACACAAAAGCTGAAACCTGATGCCCTTCGTACCACTGACATCAAACTATCACTTTATTCTCACTACTCAATAACAACTTTATCAAATTTCTAACCATTTCTTCCCTTATGCCGTTGTTGAGTATTACGTAATTTACAACTTTTATTTTTAATTTCTAAAGCCACTTCTGAGTAATTATATAATTAATTATGTCACCCCCTATTACTCAAATAATAGACTACTATACATTTTCGGTAGCTATAAATACGATTACTGTACAGCCAGGCTGTGAAGATGATTTCCTTGATAAAGAAACTATTCAGTATGGATTGTTATGTTGCTGCTATTAAACTGTAATCCATTGATATTATTATTACTGTTCTCATTGATTCAATGTTATTTAGACAACGCTGCTGCTGCTGGATACAACATAGAACTTGGCACCGAAGTGCAGCAGTTCGAGTTGCCACGTTCCAAATAGCACACAAAGGTAGACAGGAAAATGAGAGAAGAGAATCAATAGGGTTTTGACAAGTATAAGAGTGAAACAGAATGAGTAATGGTAGAAAGGAATATGAAAGGTTACTGAGACTGAATACATCTGCGCCATTGACAACGATTTTGAGCCATGTCACCTATTGTCTCCAGCCATTGATTCTTAGAGTCCCGAGGGCCCCAACCCGGAAGTCTGCATCTCCCTACCTGACTCAGTTTAACTGTCAGGGATTTCATGGATTGATGCCATGTTTTTGTTTGGCCACCACTTACTCTTTTCCAACCTGCACCTATATCAGCTAGTAATGCCCGTCGGGGGAGACGATGGTTAGGCATGCGCAGCACGTGGCCTAACCATCTCAATCTATGTAACTTCATAGCCTCTTCGAGTGATTTTCCCTCTTTGCCCAACACTCTACGCCTAACGTCAACATTACTTACATTATTATACCACCTAACGCGAGAAAGAGATCGTAAACATCTGTGGTCAAAAACAGTCAACCTTTTCATGTCTTCCGCTCTCAATGGCCACGTCTCACCGCCATAGAGAAGGACGGAGCGAACTGCTGAGCAGTATACACGTCCCTTGGTTGACAGCCGGATGTCACGCCTACGCCAGAGACGGTGTAAGTTAGCGAAAGCAGCCCGAGCTTTTTGGATCCGTGCTGTGATTTCGTCACCAATCAATCCGTTGGTGCTGATACAACTTCCCAAATAGGTGAAGTGGTCAACATGCTCAATCACTTCACTCCCTATCACTACGCTAGGAGTTGACGTAGTCCAGTCCTGTAGCAGCATCTTACATTTCACAGGGGCGAATTATTTAGACAACGACATTAATGTTGTTGTTAATAACACTAATTCATTCATTCACTATTATGGATAGACGCATAAAGAACTGTAGAACCTGGCGATGATGAAGAGCAGGTTATCGAAAATGTGAATATTCTTCTTTTAGTTAACCATTGCTTTGAAAACTTTTAATGGGCATTTTTAGTAACTTATAAAATTTGTTTTGCTGTCAACTTTGTCCAAGTGATAAGAAAATGCGTCAATTTTAGAAGACGAATTTTATGCCCATATATATATATATATATATATATATAAGGCTTCTGGGGACATTTTCTTTCCCACTCCTTTGCGTTTAAGAGTGGAATTGTGACTCCAAGCAGCTTTTTTCTCTCTGAAATCTCGGTAGCGATAGTACCTGTTTTACAGGGTACGAGAGGGGATGTTGCTAGCTGTTTACTATCCATTAGTGAGTTAACTAGGTAAGTAAAGTTTAGAAGTGTATCACAGCCAGAAGTCGATTCCAGACAGTGTGCAACATAGTTAGTTTTTTTATTCCTTTGCGTTTCCAGTGGAACATAGGGCTCAAAGATTTAGCTTTGAAGTTTCAGTAGCAACGATGTTTTTTACGGGGTGGAGTTGCTAGCCCCACGCCCAACCTTCCCTCTTTGTCGGGATTGTAAACGGCTAAGGGAGGTAATGGCGTACGCCAAACGGGACTCGAACCCCGGACCACGCGCATGGTCGGCCAGCGCTCTACTGATGAACCACCGGTGCACTACATAGTTAGTCGTTGGCTAGTATTCCTCACTAACGAGACCGCCGACAACACCTGCCTGTGAACTAATCACACTGAAACTGCTTAACAAAAATTCGTTACCTTTCAAGTATTGGTTTTGTAGAGGGATTTTATTTGTTTGGTTGGTTGGAGGATTTCATCATGAGCGCTGACATCGGTTGGTGGTTAGAGAACCGTTGGAAAACATGCCACAGGGAGTACTGCTAGACAGCTGCTTCCTCTGTCCTAGTGCTTGGGACTGGCTCTTCAGCAGTACGCACCTACCCCCACTAGGGTTTGAACCCAGGACCTTCTGGTTACAAGGCGACATAGCTCGTAGACTATTACACCAATGGGACTCGAACCAACGGCCCATGAATTCCAGTGGCTTAGTGGTCTACGAGTTCATTCGCCTTGTAACTAGAAGGTCCTGGGCTCGAACCCCATTAGTGGGTTCGTACTGATGAAGAGTCCCAGACTATACTAACAAAACAGCTGTCCAGTATTCCTTAAAGGTTTTCCAATGGTTCTCTAACTGATGTCACCTCATGATGAAATCCTCCAACCAATCAGAATACTATTCCCACAGTTCAATACTGCATCAGCAAAAGAATACCATACTATATATGCATGTATTTGAACATTCTATTTCATTTCATTCAATGTGAACCGAAATCACACGCTCACTCAGTGATTATTGGTTAAAGAATACAAACTGTATAGATATATAAACAGCGGTTTGACCAATGGGAAATATACCTTTGCTTCCGTGTCTTGCCCTCTTTTGCTGTTACAAAACTACAAAGTCGTATACCGGTAGCATTTTACAGACAACATAATAGTAAAGTTTTACTGCTCAGAAGATGATGGTGCTTCAAGAACAGTTACACTGAAGTTCGTTTAAAACTCTGTCTCTAACTGGATGCATATATTCTTAAAGAATGCTCAATATATCGATAAAGAGAAAATCCTTACAGACTCCAATTTAGTGATTGGGATAATAATGTTGAAATTTTAAATAGAGGAAACACCAAAAGTGCCAGAGAATTCTTAGAAGCCTGGTTGGTACTCAAGTGAATCAGCCAGCGATCAACAATTACACATTACTATAGACCGAATTTACTAACTAATAAAAAGTAAATCATCACGTGAAAAGAAAGTTCAAACTTCGAGTCAATAAAATCGTGACCAATACAAATGTAAATCGACTACCAGTCACGAAGATGATTGCTGTCAGGTGAGACACACATGCATACCATCATTCATGGAGGGAGTGAATTCATCAAATGAGATGTTGTATAGAAGGAGGAGGGACGACGACGAAAGCTTCGCAATTAGACAAGCAACCAGATCAGGGTATACAACTAATTTCACTCACTCACTGATATGCAAGACTCGGATTTTCAATACAAATGTCAGTGAAGTCAGTCAGTCAGTTAGTTAGTACTTCTATACAGGTCAGAAACTTGCACTGCACTCGCGTCCCAAAAACGATTTCCAACAGCCTACTACAGACTTCTGTCAACAGCTGCCACCTTTGATGGCTAGCTGGCTAGCTCCACACTGAAGATCGAGTGGTCGACCGGAAAGAATAAGCAACAAGAAACTCTGGCTGGGAACAAACCAACCAACAGAGCAAGAGCCGATCGCTCAACAATATGTAGGAGAAAATGGAGATGGATTGATCGGGCATACATTGAGGAGGGAGATCGTCGAGTGAAATCGCGCACTCGAGTAGAATAGAAATGGGAAGCGACAGTCGAGTGGGTCGTCAGTGTGAGGGTGACATGAAGGAGATAGTGTGGCGAGGAGGAGCAGGAGATAAGAGATTATTATGGGCAATCGTGGGAGCTAGCCAGCTGAAGAGGATGGTAGAAAATAGAAGACAGTGGAGATGTGTTGCTGTTGAAGCCAGCCCTATGTTCCACTCAAAACATAAGGGAATAATAATAATAATACTCCGCTCTTTTTATAAACATTATTTATTGTTGCTATTGAAGGTATAATAATTCCACTACGTACACTCTCCTCCTCATCCTCCTTCTACCTCACCTCATACTTTAAAGAATCAGAATAAATGAAATATGGTAATGGGACGTGATAATATACACTTTGCATCCTTTAATGTCAAAATATCCATAAAGTATGGCATTGCATTATTACCTACCTCAATAGCATCATTATTCCTTTGATTGATTTTTAAAAGCGCTGAAGAAGAACACCAACCATAATGATTAGTATTCTCTGCATATTCTATACTAACATCGTAGAAAGATGATCCACCTGAAAGATCATATATAGCCAATAATAACATAGGTGATGAGTTGCTTTGTAACTTCTTGTCTACTCCTCCTCCTCCACCTCCTAAAATCGATTCATTCATTTGATTACTTCTACTCAAAATGTATTGTAAACAAGCTTTCCATACACGAAAATCATGAACATCTTTAATTCCAGAAATCCAGCTTAAATAGAAGAAAAAAAGAGTAAAAGAAAAGAGACATGACTAAAAATATTCTCGATCAAAAAAAAAAAAAAGAAAATGGAGGGAATCTCTAACACACAAAGAGAAAGTCCAAACAGCACAAAACACGTAGTGTTCAGTGAAGAGTCTCTTTAGGGAGGCAACGAATTATTCATTTTCCTCTTTAGTTGTACAAACGCAGAATATATCTATATAATATTCTAGATTAGTAGTCAATAACAATATTAGTGTTTTTTTTAAATAATATCGATGTCTTAAGTTAGGTCACAATGGAACTACAGTTCATTAAAGATGCTTAAATTATATTATTAATAATAATAAAGATGTAATAGTAAATAGAATATCAACTAAATTAAGGAAATTTCTACAAAGTTGAGGATCATTCGAACCTAGATGCCAGCAGGTAAGGAAAGTTCTGAACCGACTTCTTTTGGATACATAAATTAGGCTTTTTAATGTAGATTCCAACAGCAAGCCTCAGCAATATGTAGTAGACGAACTCTTAAGGTGAAGTTAAGATTAGTTGGTTGGTATGTGGTAAATGACTTTGAAAGCCTCGTTGACATCGATCTTGTGTTCTGCATCCACAAGATGAGATAGAATGGCGCTACGAATAGATTTTGTTTGTCCTTTACTTAACCACATAGGGTGATGTTCCGAAATCCGACGAGAAACACGGCTAATTGTACAGCCTATGTAACTGGCTCCACAGGAGCAGTTAAATTGGTAGATACACATAGAAGAGGCGAAATTGGGCAGTTTATCTTTTACTCCCGAACGCAAAAGAGGAGTGGTTTCGAAGACACAGCATACTTCACCAACAGCGAATGCTCTTGTTACCGCATTTCTAAGGCGTTGTCTTATTATCTCGCTGATATTGTCGCCGAGGAACTGAATTTGTAAGAACAAGGCCTTTTTAAGAACTGTTGGTACCTTGGACTGCTTTGGTTTTAGATTGATATTCTTATCAATAAACTTTTCTGGATAACCGTTTTCACTCAGCAACCGTTTAATATTATTAAGTTCCTCATCAAGGCATTCATCCGAGCAGATTGCGTTTGTATTTCAAGGACAAGAAGCTGAAAAAATGAGTTTACTGACCAGTTGATGAAGGTTTTCTATATGCATTTCTTCTTATTACGCCATCCTCTTTTCTGGTCATAAGGACGTCTAGAAATGAAATACTAGAGTCTTTTACGTTCTCAATAGTAAAATTTATTGGAGGATGAACATCGTTAAATTTGCCCAGAATGGTCTTTGCTTCATCCTCATTTTTCATAATCAAAAATGAATGTCATCCAAGTACCGACAGCAGAATTCAAGTTCATCAATTGAACCTTTCAAAGGCCTATTTTCTATTTTCGCAAGGAAAATGTCGGCTAGAATGGGTCCAAGTGATGACCCCATCGCCACACCACCGGCTTGTCTATAAAGTTCCTTACTAAATAAAAGGTGGGCATCCATTGTGCATTTCAAGAGAAGCTCTTTTATAAAAGATATAGGAATGCCCACGTCGATGTTTCGTCGTATGAGTTCTTTGCATACAAAGTCTACTGTTTCCATAAGTGGGACATTGGTGAATAAGAAAGATACGTCGAATGATATCATGAATTTATTGTCAACATTTAAATCTTTTATCCTTTCAACATGTCCAAAAGTATCCTTTACACTATGTTTCACCAACTTAGTACGTAGAGGCTGTAAGAGTTCGACTAACCATTTGCCTACGGGATGGTATGGTGAATTTAACATATCTAATACTGGTCGAAGCGGTACACCATTTTTGTGCACTTTAGGCGAGCCATATAATCTTGGTGTGAACGTTCCAGTGGGTTTAAGTGATGTATACTGACTCTGTGAGATAAAGCCTTGTTGTTTCAGTCTTCTCAATGTTTCCGCTAACTGTTTCTCTATCTTTCCAATCGGATCCAGAGAAGAGGAGTTACCGCCTCACCTTCGTATGATCTGCTGTACCCTACTTGTCACGGCTTCCAACTAGAATCCCAGGTAACTAACTACATACCTGAATAGGACCAGTAGCCGCTAGTGAGCATTAGATTAAGTATTGCTGTGATACTCTTCCTCCAGTGGTTTACACCACAACCAGTGTACAGTGTAATACTTGCAATTTATCGGAGACAGTATTCACAATGATGTACTCTGTAGGATGAATGACAACACTAGGTCCTTCCTTATAAGTCGAGGTTCATATATAAAGTTTTCGTTTGCAGTGAACTACATTCTACTTTTCATTATGGATAAAATTTTATTTTGATAAAGTGTCACACACCGTCTGTTTGTTACGCAGTAATATATTTACTGATGGCAACGTTTCAAGCACAAATTATTGCTGCTCATAATCATTTCAAGGCACTCACACAGACAGAGTCGATGGAGAGGTGATTCGGAAACTAATTCTCTACTACGGATGCCACCAACAATTATACATCTCATCTAACAGTTGTACGATACTGCTGCGCATGTCAAGTAATCCACAACAGGAAACTCACGGAATCCTTCAAAGTGAAAACGGGAGTAAGACAAGCTGGCTGCCTACCACTATCTCCAATGATTTTCCTGATTGCAGTAGACTGGATAATGCGACAGACACACAGCAGGCAACGAGGAGACAGGTATAAAATCGACCCACACAAAAACATCGAGGATCTGCATCGGGATTTCGCCAATGATATATATCTGATTTCCCACAAACTGGAAGATATTCATGTGAAAACCAACAAGTTGGCAGAAGAAGCATCCAGAGAAGATAGGACTTCAGGTGAACATAGAGAAGACGGAGGTGATGATGAAGATTCCTGGCCAACAGCCACAGCAACAACAACACACAATAGTCAGCATAAATGGGAGAAATCTGAAAGAAGCAACCTCCTTTACTTGCCAATCTACCTAACTGGGAGGCATCGTTTCAACTACAGGAGGACGGAACTGATGAGGATGTCATCAAAGTGAGGAGGGTGAAAGCAAGGCAAGCTTTCATTACACTTATCAAGTTTGTGTGGAAATGAACAGCAATCCTCAGTATGAAAAATCAGATTCGGATTTTCAACTCCAATGTGAAGTCAGTGCTACAATATACTGATCAGAGACTTGGTGCCGCGTGACGAAGGCCACTCCGAAGAAACTACACACCTTCATCAACAGCTGTCTTGCCTTAATACTGAATATCAGATGGCCGACCGGGAAAGATCAGCAAAAGGGACTAATTGTATGCAACACATGCAGGAAGAAATGCAGGTGCATTGGATTGTGGCCATACTCTGAGAAAACAAACCACCAAGTGAGTAGTGACATCACACACCAGGCTCTCTTACTCTCTCTCTCTCTCCGTCGAGTAGAACCCGAATGTGAGGGAAGTGGCGAGTTAGTTGGTTGTCAGTGCGCAAGGGTGACATGGAGGGGGTGATGCGAAGAGGAGATGAAAGCATGTTGGCAGATGTGGAAATAAAGGAAACAACAATAATAAATAAATAAATAAATAATAGTTGTTATTGTATATACACTTTACAAGAAAAACTAGCTTACATTCCAATTGACGATGACGTTATCACAGTAGGATCTGTGTCCAAATGAAGTGAAATCAATCCAGAATCAGTCATTTTCAAATAGCTAAATCAAGAAAAAAAATTAAGAAAGAAAGAAAAAGAATAACTTACCCTAAGCGTACATCATAGTCATGGTCATCGCATTCATTCATCATCATTAGATCTGTATATCTGGATGACAGATGAAATTCACGCGTTTCAAGACTTTTAACCAGTACAGAGGATACTAAAGACGGTTTACGCATTATTGGTGTTAGCCTCAGTGGACAGTCTAACAATAAACAATCTAATTTAAACTTTGAAAAATACATATTAAGACACGACGTTCTCTTTGAAGGATCTTGAAGTAACTTTTTATTATCAATATCACAGGTGTTTGATATAGAAGCATATGCTTTGAATTGTAGACAATTGGTAATATCCACACTGATTGGTTTAACACTGTATTCATTCCATATAGATTGAACAGCACAGTCGATAAATTGTTTATCCACGTGTTCAGATATCTCAGATTTAGAAAGCTAACGACATATAAAAGATGATAAAAATATGTATTACCTCAAAAGGTATAACAATTTCATTACACAAGTTTGGTTGACAAAATTGTCCAGTGTTGAGTTCAATTCGATTCACGCAAATCTGTAGACTTGACATAGCGGTAGAGGAGAATTTTCCGTAAAGATATGTTGTTAGGGTATTCCGTTGTCGTTGACACTGACTCATCATCATCATTCGATGGGCTAGTTTACACACTTTTTCTGGTATTAAACATTTTATCTCACTGTAAAAGGAGGGAGGAGGGTTTAACATATTCAGATGATATTTACCACTTCGATGATGATATTGATCCCAGGGAAAATATTCTGTTGACTTGCTTCTCTTGAGTTCGAATACCATTATCAGCATCATCATCATCAGCCATAAGTTTTCCAGCTAAAACCATAATAAAAGTTTATATCATAAACACAAGCAAGTTTAGTACACAGGACTTCCTGCCGACCACTTCACTTATTTGGGAAGTTGCATCAGCCGAAGCCAGCAGGTTTGTCGCTGACGAAATCTCATCTGGGTACGGATACAGAAGGCTCGTTTCTCATATGCCAACTTATTCCATTTCTGGCTTAATACACATGATATCTGACTGACTGGCTGTCGACCGAAATGCGTGTGTACTGCTCAGCAGTCTGTTCCGCCCTCCTTTATGGCTGACACATGGCCATTGAGAGTGGAAGACATGAAATGCCTTGCTGGCTAGCTGTCTGATCATAGGTGCCTGCGTCCTATCTCCCATATCAGGTGGTGGTATAATAGAGTGAGCAATATTGAGGTTAGGCGGTGGTCGAGTGCTAGGTGAGGAGGAGGGGAAATCAATTGACGATGCTGTGAAGCAGCTGAATCAATTGAGAGAGATGGTTAGGACATGTGTTACGCATGCCTGCCTACCTACCCATCGATTTCCCCGACCAACAATGGGCAATGTTAGTCACTGACTGATATAGGATGGATCAGGTTGGAAAATAGTCAGTTGGTGTTGGTTAAAACAAAATGTGACTTCATTATCGGTCAATCAAATCCACAACAGTTCGTTTAAGCCAGCCTGCCTGCCATGACAGGAGGTGTAGACTTCCTGACTGACTGTCTGGTTGGGGCCCTCAGGATGGTGGTGAGAACCAATAAAGAGTGGAGACAATTAGTTATATGACTGGCTTAAAGTGATCGTTCTCGGTGATGGCTGGTTGGCTGACGCAGATGCATCCATTCCTTATGACATAATATGCAATAAAACTATATGGTTCTTCCATATTAATACTATTCTTTTTGCCTCATATTTCTGTTTACTGTCGCTATTTCGCATTTCTTTTTACTCTCATCTCTTGCTTTGTGTGCTACATGGAGTGTGGAGACTCGAAGTGCTGCTGCACATCGGTGCAAAGTTCTATGTTGAAACCAGTCAGTCAGTCCCGCCGATTGTCTTCAATATCAAAAATTCACAGTGCATTGTGATGGCGAGCCAAACACCTAGCCTATTTGTTGGTGGCCACATTGCAAACTTGACTAACCGATAGAATTCAGTCTGCACCAAAAGAGATAGGAGTAGACACACACACATTATACTAGTTACTGACTGACTAGTGTCCAGTCACAAGAAAAGAAACATGACAATAAACGTTTATGGAAAAAAGTCATAAGTACTCAGTGTGAAGTCTGCTATCTAACATTCCAGTGAACTTCTTGCAAACAATACTACTAAAGCTGTAAAGTGACATAACCAGCAAATGGCAATAAATACTTCCAAAAATAAACAGTAACGCACGATGAAGCATTATTGTGTTTATACTGTTTTTATGAAATGCAGAACACATGAAAGTCAAGAGAAAGAACAGGAGTTCATAGAATAAAGTCGTCACATAATACTTGACTAACTGACTGACTGGTTTCAACGTCGAACTTTGGACCAATGTACAGAAGCAGTTCCAGTCGCCATACTTCACGTAGCACACGAAGTAAGAGAAGAAAGCAAAAAGAGATTCAAAACGGAAAGAGGGAGATAATAAACAGAGATATTAGGCACAAAGAATAGTAGTAATATCGAAGAACAATATAGTTTTATTGGCTACTGTAAGTTACAAGGAGTGCATAACTAATTTATCGAAGGAGGAAAGACTACACAGTTTAAATCTCTTCTTCTCATCATACTGTGGGGAGAGAGATCTCACTTCAATGTTTAAAATTTTAAATAATGCCTACGGACCTGATCTATTTCTTGTCCTTCCAACCAGGTTGTCGGAACACCTTAAAGAACATGGTAGAGTCCAAAAGCCGACTGACTCCCAGAAGAAGTGGTTTCTGCAACTTCAACTGATTCATTCAAGAAGGGTTTGGACAATCACAAAAATTTACTAGAAAGGATTAACATAGGCTCTACGCCTTCTATCCTCAACCAATAAATCCGAATCTGAAATCTAGGCCAAATGCTAATTTAAAGATACAGAAGGATATGGCTTATTATGCTGAACGATTCATTTAGCTGCATTAGCAAGAATGAACTGGTTGCTGGCGAAATATTTGGAAAGTAACAAAAGGTTAGTTCCGAATATTCTTTCTCCTCTTACAGGTGGACTTTTCCAAACCTAGGTATGCATAATCAGCTTATGAACTTTTGAGCAGTTGTCTGTAGATAACTCAGACTAAATAGTCTTCATTACATACATGAACACGTGATTCAGGCTGAGTGACTATGAACAGTAACAGAATTCTAGTTAATAACCAATAAATAGTAGTTAATGGAGTTCCATAAAATTGAAACAAAGCGATTGGAACTCAAAAATCAGAATAATCAGGCGAGTTACGTCTGCTTTCACACATTAGAACTGTTTTCAGTTAGCAAGAAATCACAAACCGTGTGATATTTGTGACTTATAACAAAACTAAAGAGACATTTTCATGAAACAATAAAACCCAACTTCTTAAACAGCGCACAACAGCTATGCGTCTTCAGTTTAGTATGAAAGTAAACATTTGTCCCCGTGAAATGTTGCACAGATATAAAGATTTTTAGAGCACAGACCTCCAAACTACCACTGCAAAGCGCATTTTTGCATTGCATCTAAATTAACACATTATTGGACATATAATTAAAAATAAGGGGTAATGAAAGAATAAATCATTTCATTTACTGAGGAACTATGAACTTCCAACCGAAAATTACGAATGAGGATTTTGACTATATATGCTGGATGCCTATGAGTGAGTCACGTGAAAATGTTTCAAACTCACAGGTAACAATATACTACGCATGCACACTCAAGTAGATTATTAGATTACGGTGACAATTTGCACTTTAAGAAAAATTAGATTTTACATAGTTTATGGGAGTGACAATTGAATATATACAAATATAAAAACCACCTGTATTTATTTTCAGGAAACCGAAGGTTGAATTTCAAAACAAATTCACCGCCAGTTGCTAAAACATACACCGTAGTAACGAATAAGTATGTGAGCTTACAATGAACAAAGTACATGAAGTCAATTCACTTGGATTTGCGTTATTTGAGACTGTCGACTTTTAAATACTTATGCTAAAATGGTTCGGCCAAGCTGAAGAACAGTGATCCAGTAGAATTAACACGTTCCAATATCCAATATCGTTTTTACGAGCTAGTATATACCAGTTGAATTTCTTTGTGCTCGCCTCTTGATTGTGAGGTATAGGTTACTGATCTTTGGTAAACTTCTGAGTAGCTCGTCCTGCCACTTGACTGTCACAGCTTTGGTTGACTCCAAAAGGAGTAGTGGACTTGAATGCCACTTCAGTTGACCCGCACATCAGCAGAAATCCCTCAGTACTGTAAACCTAAGTCTCCTGAAAGTGTCAACACACCGTTCGGCTTCGCCAGTTGTTTGCGAGAGGTATAGAAGTGAAAACATACAGGTAATGGAGAGTCGGTGGTCATCCTCTCCTAGCACTTAAGGAGTAAATATACAGCCATTATTTGTGGCTCCAGTTTCTGGTACACAATGACAGAAACCTTTGAATTCAGTGACGTTGTTGGTTGGACAACAGTTATTATATATCATACAGAGCTTAGTAGAACACACTACTTACGGGACCGGTGAAAACTATACCAGGATTTGAAGAGCAGCTATCCACGGTTCAGAGTTTAATTGACTACTTTGCCCAGATATTTGGAGATGTTTCTAAGGTCGCTCGATAAAACTGAAAATATCTTCACATTTTTGGACAGTAGCAGGTATCCTGCACCATATACTTAGTTCGTCAAATGCCAGAATTTCTCTTCTGATAATATCGACGGGACATAGCTCTAAGGTCCGCCGGTATCACTGCATGATATGCATATGTTGAGTTATCTTGATAAATGTCAAATCATACATCTAATGTGTTTAAAGAAACAAGTATGTTACCAGTTTCTCGTTACGCACTGCACTGTATGTTGCAGTTAATTACCAGCGTTTGTTACCCTACGGACTTATAAGTCAGTTACCGGTATATACCGAGGTTGCTAACTTCGAAGTAGACTCAGCAGTCTTTTTGAGGTGATCGCCGATATCACATCATTCTATGAATTCAGACAGTCCCTGGTAACAGGCCTGCTTGAAGTCACTAGTTAGAATATCAGTATCTTATTCCATTGAAATGACTGAACGGATTTGCGGTCGAACGGGTGTGTGAGCAGGAAAACTGAGAGAAATGCCGTGTGATTTGTGGTGGGGGATCGGAGAAGTTCATTCATTCAAGTGCATCTCAGACATAATAATATATGTGTAAAACCTCGGCACTGTGGTAGTAAGTAATCCCATATTGGTTTGTTTATTTGATGTATCACACAGTGAAACAATATTATTTACTGGTTGACAAAGTTTCGAACACAATTTATTCATGGTTGATAATCATTTCATATATTATAATCACACACGACTTTGAAACTTCAGTTTTCTAGTTTTCTTTGTCTTCTCCTATTTGTCGTAGGGGTAGTATAATTTTCCAGATATCTAGGACAGGTGTTAAATCACTCCTATTACATGTGTTTGCAGTTGATTCCATAAACAAAGCTTCTGTTGCCAATCTATCCCTCCAAATTGTGACAATAGATTTTAAAACTGTCATCTTATCCCATCATCCTATATTGTATGGTTGTGTATAGTTGCATATAGTGGGTGCTATAGCTGAGCGATTCTCTAGATTTCTCATCTTTTTCGAGTCAATTAATCTAGATTATGCTGCTAGGTTTTTATGCTCTACTAGTCTGACTGACTGCCCCCGTTCTACTAATCTGACTTATGTATTTGACCTGACAATCATTGCAGGGTATTAGATAAACTAAATCGTTTTGTTTTAAAGGCTCCACAGGATCCTTTAACCGACAAAGCTTGTTTCTAATTGAGTTTGTGGGTTTGAATGCTACTTTTATTCCTGCCTTGTTAGGAATTCTGCGTAAGGTTTCTGAGGTACCTTCCTTGTATGGAATTACTACTGATGATTTAGATTCCTTATTGTTGGTGTCGCCATTAATATTATTATTATCACTATCACTACTATCATTATTCATTTTATTTTCACACTTCCTTACATATTTTCTGACTAATTGGAATCTCCCTTTCGTGACTTTCCATTTCATAAGTGAATTGAATTGCCTTTCCCTACGATTTGATGTGTTCGAAAAACTTATCTTTATCTTGTGTTGTAAGTACAGTGAATGATAGCGGGTTGTGAGTTGTGGTCTCATAATATATTTCTTCACTCTCTTTGTATCGTTGCTAACAAACACATCACTGAACAAATATAAGGACCATATTCCCCCTTTTCTAGTTAGGCGTTAAATAGAGCCTAGCCACCAGGTTAGTTGGAAAAGACTAAAGAGTCAGCAGGTAGTTTGGTTAGCGCTCACGTGTAACAGGATGGATTACCACAAATCAACGTGCTCATAATTCCTTGTTGACACCGATAGGAGATGTCCTTCAAAATCGTTCAGACAGGCTAACCAACTGGTTTCTTAGACTGTCATCAGGGCGGGTCGGTTGCACTTTATGGGAACATCTCGCAGGCAGTAGTTAGGCTAAAGCTTCCTATGCCACTTGTCCTTATTTTCTCTCCACTGAAATGAATGTTCGAGAAACGTGCATGATCGATTCTGTGAGCTACCTTGAAAGACATCAGTAATTCCACTTTAATTCTGTTGGCCGTGTCACAAGTGGCAACTGTAGAAGGAATTTTAGATTACAATTTTTTAAAAGCTATTTAAGGCTTACCACGGACTTAAAATTTCTTAAAGATAAGTTACTGCCCGATAAATTCTTGGTCACATTCTTTTCTAGCAACCGGTTCAGTGGGTGCCGAGCGTCATAAAAAGTAGAGGGAGGTGCAGAGCAGTGGCTAACTAATCATAAGAGGAAATGCAGTGAAGGCACAGCTGTGAAACCTGTTATCCTTCCATTAGAACGCACGTCTGCCGTGTGGGTTATGTATAAATTCCAAGGTATTCGATAAGTCGGGGGAAAATCTGCTGATTTTCGTGACATTTTCCTAGTCCACTGTCGCTTCTACGTGGGTTGGATTTTTTACTCAACCGCGTATATTCTCTGGAGGGCTAGGTACAGTCAGTACGTCGTCTTGACAGGTAGCCACACCTGGAAAACAAAGCAGAAACCGAATTCTGGGACAATAGTTAGTTAGGCTACTTGAACGGCTTCGAGTTTGTTCCTAGCTGGTTTCAACCTAACTTGGTGGACAGGGTGCTCTTTACGCCACCTAAACTAAAAAAGGAGGAATATTATCCTTATGTCTGTTCAATGATGTGTTGACTGAAGATATAATAAGGAGAGCATTGGGATACAAAATCAAATCTCAAAGCAGTAACCACACCCTTGCCTCTTCAGAATCTGCCGTTTTGTTTCATTCAGCAGAGATTTAAACAGTCGACTGATGAAGGCATAGTAGCTACGTTTGACTTTAATATTCATGTTTCTTTGATCCTCCAGATATCATTAGTGACTGGAAAATAAACACAGATGTTTTTATTCCGAGAGGTAATTAGGTTTGCCGAAACAAGTTATGATGCAAGTTGTCAGTGAGAAGCTTTCGGATTTCTAAAGTCACCTGAAATTGGGAATTTAAGCCACGGGTTGTGAACAATTTGACCTGAAAATGCAGGAAATAATGACAATATTATGAGAAGGCATACGTGCTGTTCTGAAAATCAGGATGAATACATTATTATCCACTTGCTTTATTGTGATCCGGTTGGCCAGAAAATACAGGTTTCCTACTTGTAGGATTGACGGCTGCCTTAGTAGTAGCATCAGGACTAAAAATTCCCCCCAACGTTTCTTCTAAGTGGCAGAGATTATGCCTTTCCTAAATGGGAAGACATTTCCGTTCATCTGGCGTTAAAGTGTGACATGTGGCAATATACCAAGATACCTACCTCTCAGATTTTAGATGCTTACATAATATTGACAGAATTTACTTTTGTGGTGAACTAAAATACACTTTTAGAAACTACAGGATTCGTAAGAGTAATTTTGTATCGAAAGATATTCCACATAATGCCGGAATGGTTGACACTGTGAATACTTTGGAACACTCTGTTGAGCCGGTTCAGATTATTATAATTATTAGATTTAAAATGGATAGTGCAGAAGGTATTGGTTGTGCTGTTGATAAGGTATATAGCGGTGCTGATAACGAAACGCAAATAAAAATGATGCAATTATTTAGTAATTCGCTGGGAAAAGCAGCATGTTTGAAAGGGTGAAAGGTTGAGCTTGTAGCGGTAAATAATTCCCCGAAATTATTAACCACAGCAATCATCATTCAACATTGGATGCTGACCATCACTGTTTAAGTTGACTTGTTTAGCTGAAGGCTTCCGGTCAAGCATCCCCGCCATTTGGTACTCCGTCGTGTCAGGTGCGTGCACGATTACTAGCTAGCTAAGCATTCACCTCTCCCCGTGATTTTGTCCCGAAATATACTACGTACTTTGGACGACAAAATCTGGTCTTTCGCTTTACCATTTGGTACTCAAAGAACGGACACTATAGAAGTTGTTGGTATAAGATCTTGCGTTAGTATGATCCGTACAACTCGCGAACGTCGATACCGTCAGCCCCAAAAAGCTTATTTGGGGAAGAGATTTCACCATTTATCTGGTTAGTATGGCCCCACCAAGGATTCAGAGTCTGTTAACAATGCGATGACATTCCAAACTATGTCGATGAGTAGCCATGAAAACAAGCTGTTAGGTAACTAGGGCATCTTTGGACAGGCCAGACGTTTATTTTGTAAATATTAAGTAAGATTACTTTGATGTATTAATTTTAACCTTGGGTTCATTTTGGTACTGTGGAAGGCACAGGCAATACCAGGTGGACATGATACTGCATCTGTATCCATTGAAAGCCAGTGCGTGACACACGGCAAAACAAAAAAGAAACGCTCGAGACGTTGTAA